CACGCGCACACACACAGACACACACACAATACACACACATACATACAAACACACACATACATACACACAAACACATACACAATACACACACACATACATACAGACACACACATACATACACACAAACACATACAGACACATACATACACACATACATACAGACACACAGACATACACATAAACACATACACACATAGTCATGACCTGGCTTTGCCCGGGACTTGTATCCACCACGCCCGGCCGCCTTTGTCTCCCCAGTGGCGATGTTAATACGCCACACCAGTTACTCGTTTTGAGGCTGAGTCCCTCGCTCGCCACTCTGCCTCCCTCGCCACTCTGTAGAGGACGTGAAATTTGTATGAATTTACCTCAGAGTGGCGTGTTGGGTGTCGAGGCCTAGCACCGTGCAGAGCCTCCCGCCTTGCCTGATTTTCCCACCCGGCGAACGATGGGTACGGGTGCCGGTCCCCCCCCCCCCCGCGCTATTAAAAATGGCGTCCACCCCGCGGCGAAAAGTTGCTACTCGTTGCCAGGGGCAACCGCCGTCCAATGAAAGCGGCGAAGGCGTCGTTAGCTGTTGCCAGGGGCAACCGCCGTCCAATGAAAGTGCGTATGGTCCGAAATCCACACACACATACACAGACAGACAGACAGACATGCACGATTTTATATATATAGAAGATTACCAATTGCTTAATACTGCCATGCAATCATCTGACCCATAGGTGACAGCCATCTCAAGCCAGAGGACGAGAGGACTCTAGCCACCACGCATATAAAGGATTTATAGTGAAAAACTTTGTTTTTACGGGTTATACTTGTTAAAAACTAAATCTACGAAGCGTGTAGCCCCTGAGCTAATCTACACGTATTGAACGCGCTCGTGTAAAGGTGGACTCGTGGATGATAAAAAGGGGGATTTGAAGGCGGGACCCTGAGACTCGAAGCAGATCAGTGCGGATTGGGGGTGGGGGGCACAGGCGAGTACAATGGAATTCGCTGTATTGAACAGCGTCACAGCCCCACAGACGACAACAGCCGTTGCGCTTGGTGGTTGCACATCCGAGCAAGGTGCGGGCTCAAGCTCTGCTGGGGGGTCCCGAGCTCTGACGCGACTGGGGGGGCATTCTGGGTGGTTTGGTTGTCGGCGCTTGTCATAAACCAGTGGAGGCAAAGCGCACGGGACACTTGCAGACGTAAACCACCATCGCGATTTGGCCACGTGGCCGACAAGCAATTGTCCAAAGCCGATTAAAATGTCTGCACGATTCGTATTTTATTAAAATCTGCGTATATATGTGCGTCTGTAATAATAACACGGTCATTTAAAATGTTGCATTGCCATTGTCGCACGAGAGAGTCGGACATCCGCATTCGGGCTCGTGGGGGTTGTCGCGAACGAGCGAGGTGTTCGGGCTTCATCCGAGTGACTTCAGAGTTCGAGGCAGACCAAGGCTGCATGGAGATTCTTAATGACTCCCGTGTGCACCTGTGGCCACGGGCTCCAAACCATGGACCCTCAAACTTCGTACTGCCCCAAATATACACGTAAAGGCTGGATAGCTGCTTGGATCTGAAATTCACCAACTTTCAAAGCAATTGCACGGCCAAATCATTTACCGATATATCTTGTATAGTTGCTGTTCATTGGGCACACGAAAAAAAAACAGTGATGATCGAGACTCTTGACTGAGCACCAAAAAAAGTTATTGTTGATCCTTAACGACTCAAACGCTGAGAGCCAGACGAAGGCCATCGTAAGGAATGTTAACATTCAGGACCAATTCCCGAGGCTGCTCAAGCAGCCACACGAACTCAACACCGCGCCGAGTTGGATTTTCCAACCAACGCGGAGAGTGGCAAATCCACGTGCGGCATTGAGTCCCAGAGGGGCGCGGACTCGGAGGGTTTCTTGGCAAACCGCGTGGAACGCGGCTCCGCCACGGCCACGTCACTGGCTGGACTTGGGCTTCGATCGTTCACTCAGACCGCGCTTCGCATTCAGCGCCCGCCCCAATTAATACTGCGGTGTAACAACCGTGATAATACTGCGCGCCGTCACCTTCACAGTGGACTTTAAAGATCCCAATGACGCCGTTCGCAAGAGTCGGTTACTCTGTGCCAGCGCCAGGGCACACATTTGAAAAATAACAGCGCAAGTGACTCGACTGGATTATACAGAGGAATGATCGCTCCCTACAGCGTGAACATGGCAGCACCCTCTTTAAAAAAAAGTCACGACACTCAGCGAGGTTTTCCTGGACAAACGAGCAGAATAATATCCTGAGAGGCGGAGTGGTCAGCGCACTGCGTTACGAACCTTGCAACCCGAGTTTGAATCCCGGTTCCCGTTTACTTGCGTGGCCTAACCTTCTACAGTCCTGACCTGCACATCTTTACCAAGCCGAGCTCGGAATGCTGCGCGCTCGGGATTTCAGCACCCCCCCCCCCCCCTCGGCCTCATGTCTGTGGCAGCTGCCCAAGCTCAGGCACTGAACCAGAACCACCGGAGTCACGCGTTTAAGCCTCAATCAGTCCCCAATAGTACTGCCAGGTTATGCGTAATCGCAGTTGACTTTTAAATCCCGTGGCAACTTCAATGGATAGCTGGGGCGACGCGGATTTGCGGCAGTCAGCACATTACGCGGAATTCTTGCGGATTGGACACGGAGGAGTAACGTGAAATTTAACTCTTGACACAGGAAAGCCTCTCTGCGTGTCTCCAGAACTCAACAGAGCTCTGCCGTTGAAATTTTTCCGCTCCAATAGTTTCCCAGCATTCTCTCGCCGTTGTTGTTGTTCTCCGCGAGGAAGCTGGAACGTGCGGACAAAGCACTCACGTCCGAGAGAACACTTAAACTCGGCCCCCCCCCGGACAGCCTGGCCAGACAACCTACTTTCTGCACTGCCTCCTGCAGGCAGCGGCAGGTCTCGCGCGGCACCGTCGACGCGGCTCCAGCGTCGCGTGACCTCCGAGTGGTGATCGTGGCCTGATTGTCGATGTCGCGGCGAGGTTCGGGGAGGAGGGCGCAGTCACCCGAGTCGACGTCGTGCGGCCTACGCCGCCACTTGACTCGACAGCTGCAAACGCTGCGACTGCCGCCGCGTGCCGAGCTCCGCGCGTCCCGGGGGACTCAATCCCACGCTGCCGCCCAACCAGAGGTCGCAACCGGGTACCCGATACCCGTACCCTACCCGATACCCGGCTACCCGTACCCGGCCAGGTACGGGTAGCCGGGTACGGGTAGCCGTTTGCGACCCTGGTGCGGCCGGGTACGGGTACGCCGCGAGTCACTGGTGAGTAACCGTTTGTCACTCATTTAGGGTAGGGTACGGGTAGGGAACGAGTACCCGTACCCGGCCGGGTACCCGTACCCGTACCCGGCCGGGTACGGGTACCCATTTGCGACCCTGGTGTGGCCGAGTACGGGTTGGGAATCAAAACCCGTTTGCGACCTCTGCGCCCAACGCCCGTGCTTTTCCCCCTTTACAATATAATCATTTAATCACGTACAAACGAATCAAGTGGCACATGCCGAGTAATCTAATCACAAGTAGAAACGTGGAGCAATTATGCAAGTTTAAGGAACCTGCCCTGGCAATTGGCTTTACACCAACGCATTCATGGCGTGCGTTTACCACACCAACGTAGAACTGCAAATGCAGGACGACCATGGCCTTGTGATCCACCGATCCTTGCCAGCAAGTGGTGGCACAATTCAATCACAGCGCGAGCCACCACCACCGTGACAGTAGTCACAAGCACCATCACGACATCAGAGAACAATCACGCAACCGAACCCTAACCCACCAGCACGGATCTCTCGGTGCTGGCTACAAAGATCGACGTTTAAAGTTCACATTATCATCGTCATCACCACGGCCACGGCCGGAGATTTAGAAACATTTCAGTGGCGGTGGGGGGTCCCCGGAACTGGACGCTCTTCACACAGGGCCCCCTACATTCATAATAAAAACATTCAATGTATTCTCCATGGTAAACACTGCCAATTGTCGGGTCCCAAGCGGGGGGCGGTCGCCCCTATCAGCCCCCGCCTCTTGGATCCGCTGCTGGCCACCACCAACACCACCACCGTCGCCACCACCACCACCCTCGCCACCACCAACACCACCACCGTCGCCACCACCACCGTCGCCACCGCCACCGTCGCCACCGCCACCGCCGCCACCACCGTCACCACCGTCGCCACCGCCACCACCACCGTCGCCACCACCATCGCCACCACCACCGTCGCCACCACCGTCGCCACCACCGTCGCCACCACCACCGTCGCCACCACCACCACCGTCGCCACCACCAACACCACCACCGTCGCCACCACCACCGTCGCCACCACCACCGTCGCCACCGCCACCGCCGCCACCACCATCACCACCGTCGCCACCGCCACCGCCACCACCACCACCACCGTCGCCACCACCGTCGCCACCACCACCGTCGCCACCACCACCGTCGCCACCACCATCGCCACCACCACCGTCGCCACCACCACCACCACCACCAACACCACCACCGTCGCCACCACCACCGTCACCACCACCAACACCACCACCGTCGCCACCACCACCGTCACCACCGTCGCCACCGTCGCCACCGTCACCGTCGCCACCGCCACCGTCGCCACCACCACCGTCACCACCACCACCGTCACCACCGTCGCCACCACCACCGTCACCACCACCACCGTCACCACCGTCGCCACCGTCGCCACCACCACCGTCGCCACCACCACCGTCGCCACCACCACCGTCACCACCGTCGCCACCACCACCGTCGCCACCACCACCGTCGCCACCACCACCGTCGCCACAACCACCGTCGCCACCACCACCACCGTCGCCACCGCCACCGTCGCCACCGTCGCCACCGCCACCGTCGCCACCGTCGCCACCGCCACCGTCGCCACCGCCACCGTCGCCACCGCCACCGTCGCCACCGCCACCGTCGCCACCGCCACCGTCGCCACCGCCACCACCGCCACCGTCGCCACCGCCACCGTCACCGTCGCCACCACCACCGTCGCCACCGTCGCCACCGTCGCCACCACCACCGTCACCACCTCCACCGTCACCACCACCACCACCGTCGCCACCGCTATCACCACGAGGCTTCAGCTCGGCAGTCCTCCCTGTTCAGGCTGGAGGGCTCGGGTTGGGGGGCCTGGGCTGGGGGGCCCTGGCTGGCTGCACGCGAGGCGAGGGGGGCGAGGGGGGCGCAGGGGGATGACGAACACGGAGACGTCGTCCGGGGATCCCTGGGGCCGCGTGGCCAAACGCACGAGAGCCACAGCCGCCCTCGTGAACCTGCACACACACGCACATACATACGTACACGCATACACACGCACGCACATACATATGAAGTATTGGAATTGACGGCAGGAACTTCTTGACGGGTAACACACTTTTATTAAAGCTTGACGTGTCACAATACAACGGGTGGTCTCTATCCTTTGGACTATACACTCCACTTAACTCGTGTAGACTCTATGCTTCTGGCTACACACAATACACTTGACTCGTGTAGACCCTATGCCTCTGGCTACACACAATACACTTGGCTCGTGTAGACCCTATGCCTCTGGCTACACACAATACATTCGGCTCGTGTAGACTCTATGCCTATGGCTATACACACTATACTCGCCTCTGGGTTACACAGAGTCCCGGTCCCGTTAGGACAGCGGGACTAGGTACCGCAGGGCCCTATGTCTTCATCCCCGTCTTCATTCTTCGCTGGTTACATACTGCCCTTACGCCTGTGTGCATCCCCTTTTATAGCCCCTGCTCACGAGAGACGGAGCTGATGCGGACGTCGACGTGAGCATCGCTCCTTAGTGAACCAATCACGACGCACTCTCTCTACGATCCGTTTTCCCCAGCGCGTGTTAACACTACTCCACCAATCACACCGCGCTGCCACCCGGTCACTCCCTCTCAGCGCGTCACCGGCCCACAGCCAATCAGTACCCCGTAACCCACGACCCCGCGCTGACCCCTGAACCTCCACCGTCAGCGCGCGTCACCACATACACAGCCAATCATTACGCGCTGGCATACGATCCCTAATCCCAGCGCGTATCACCACTACATCACCCCCTCCCACATAGCTTGCAGCCGGCCCGGCTGTTAACCAACAACACAACCTAACGTCAACGCAGTAATAAAGAAACCCCACCCCCCAGTGTGCCCCGTAACGCAACAACAACAACACAACACTTAAATAAGAAGCAATATACAGCCCGACGAACAACACAATAAAAGCGAACACCAGAAAACGAACGCGCCAAGTGTCTCTGTGACTAAACGCAGTGACGAGGCGCTCCGGCTGCCTCGACTCCTCACGTGGTAGGTCATAAAAAGTAGCGCGACCTAGCGCGAGTCCGTCTGGCCGGTCCGTCATATGGGACGGGACGCTGGCGACCGTCCGGTGGCTCCGGCAGCTCTAGACGGCGCGGATCGGGCCTGGAAGGACCGGCCCCGCCGCGAAGATCCGGCCGCCGGTGGTCGGCAGCTGTCAGTTCCGAGACACCTGGGAGCGGATCAGGCGGAGACATGTGAGGATCAGGCAAAGACATTTCCCCCTTAGGGTCGTCGGTCACGTCACATGCTCGGCCCTCACGACACAAGGGGAGGCCATATGGAGGCGAGAACGGTTTCAGTCGGGAGGGGTGGACGTACCAACGGCGTTTTCCCCATTTTATCTGAACGCACTGGGGGCGTGCAACCCGCACGACCTCCACGGGTCCCCGCCATGGCTTCAACAATTTAGGCGACGTAGCCAAAGGTGCCTGAGGGCAATGCAGCCAGGCCCTGTCACCTGGTTCCCAGTTGTGCACGGACACCTTCCGTGCACGCAACCGCTCGTTTGCAATTTGGCGAGCCCGCGAATTAAGCCGTGCGGCCTCCCTTGCCTCTGTCAGCTTATGAATATTAAATTTAATATGCTCTGCCAATTTCGAATTAGTTCGTGGTGCGGGCAGGCCCAGCTGCGTTTCCATGGGCGGGTCGGCTTCCCGACCGTACATCAGATAAAACGGGGAAAATCCCGTAGCTGCATGGGGGGCCATTCTATACGCGGCGAGGACCCCAGGGACCTGCAGGTCCCAATCAACATGTGCCTCACACACCTGCTGGCACAGCATAGAAGTCAATGTCCTGTGGAGCCTCTCCACCATCCCGTCCGTCTGCGGGTGGTACGGGGAGGTACGCACCTTCTTAGTACCCAACAGGTCGCACACCTCTTGCAGTAATTTACTCGAAAAATTTTTCCCTTGGTCGGTCAGCAAGCGTTCGGGAGCCCCCTTGTCCAGGACGTAGCCCTGGACAAAGGCGTCCGTCACAGCCGCCGCCGACTGGTTGGCGAGTGGCCACGCCATAGGCCACCGGGTAAAATATTCGACCCCCACCAACAGGTACTTATTACCCCTAGGCGTGACTGGAAAAGGCCCCAGAATATCGAGTGCAACGAGCTCGTTAGTGCGCGAGACCTGAATAGATTGCAGCGGTGGATTAGCTGCCACGGGCGGTGGTTTCCGTCTGGCGCACTCAACACAACCCTTCAGAATATTCACCACGTCACTCCCCATTCCCGGCCAATAATAGTCACGCTGAAGCAGGGCAAGCGTTTTGTTAACTCCCAAATGCAAGAGGCGTTCGTGTGCGGCCAAGACAACCTTCCCTCTCACAGCAGAAGGCACCACAATCGCGTGCCGCCGGGACAAACTGTCCCATCTCATTAACAGGCCTTGCTTAAGTACGTAGGAGCCAGTTCGTTCATGGTCACCTTCGGAACCCCCCGTCCTGCGGCGCAATGCTAGCAGGGAGCTGTCCGCCATTTGGAGACGGCCCCACTCAATCAGCGACAGTGAGAGCAGCGAGTCCTGACCCCCTGGGGTAGCGGGAACATCCCCAATTGGTGTGCCCGCGGTCGCAACCAACGCCTCCATACCTTCCGTAACTGGCGGTTTACAGCGCGCCGATCCCGATAAGCACGCACATTTGTGACAAGGCAACAACCGCGACAGGGCATCGGCATTTGTGTGTCGCAACCCCTTACGGTATGTAGTCGTGAACTGATAGTCCTGGAGGACTTCCAACCACCGCGACAATTGGCCCGAGGGCTGGGCGACCCGCAATGAATATTGGAGCGCCGCGTGGTCCGTCCGGACCGTAAAGTGACGACCATAGAGATATGGTCTGAATTGTTGTACGAAAAAAACAATGGCAAGCAGCTCGCGACGGGTGACGCAGTAGCGCTGCTCTGCCGGCGACAACACTCTGCTACCATAGGCGACCACCCGTTCGACCCCTCCAATGACTTGGGACAGCACCCCCCCAATGCCCGTGTTGCTAGCATCCGTGTCTAGCAAGAAGGGACTCGCAAAGTCCGGATAGCGCAAGGGTGGGGCCCCTACCAAGGCGTCCCGGAGGGAACAGAATGCAGCCTCCTCCTCCGGTCCCCATCGGAACTTCACTCCTTTCGCCGTTAGAGCGTGCAAGGGTTTTGCAATGGTGGCGAAGTGCTCAACGAATCGGCGATAATAAGAAGCAAAGCCGATGAAACTGCGCACGTCCGAAACTGACGTGGGTGTCGGCCACGAACTGACACAGTCCGTCTTCGCAGGATCGGTAGAAATCCCCGAAGAGTCGACAATGTGACCCAAGTATCTAACGGATTTACGAAAAAGGTGGCATTTGGCCGGTTTAAACTTTAATTTAGCCGATCGCATTCGCAAGAACACCCCTCTCAATCGCTGGAGGTGTTCTTCAAACGTTTTACTGAAAACAATGACATCGTCAAGGTAAATCAGGCACGTATCCCATTGCAAGCCTGACAAAACCAACTCCATAAGGCGCTGAAACGTCGCAGGAGAGGAGTGAAGTCCCATGGGTAACCGGTTAAACTGAAACAGGCCCCCTGGAGTCCGAAATGCAGTCTTAGGCTTAGACTCTTCGTCGAGTGGCAACTGCCAGAATCCGGATAATAAATCAAGAGTCGAAAAGTATCGCGCACCAGACAATGCGTCGAGGGACTCGTCCATCCTGGGGAGCGGATACGCGTCGGCCACAGAGATCTTATTCAGGCGACGGAAATCGACGCAAAATCGCAAGGACCCGTCCTGCTTTTTAACGAGCACAATAGGTGCTCCCCAAGGACTGGAAGAAGGCGAAATAATGTCGGCTTCTAGCATATCGTTAACGGCCGACTGAACATGTTCCTTCTCAGCAGGACTCAGTCGGAAGGGATTTAGCCTGACCGGTGCTGCATCGCCCGTTTCAATGTGGTGGCGTAGCAGGTCCGTGCACCCAATGTCATACTTATGTTTACTGAAGACATCCGAAAATTCAATCAGCAACCCGCGCAGCGCACCCAACTGTACCGCTGACAAATCGTCCGAGTCCGCGCACAGCGAATCGACCCATTCGAGGTCCTCCTTCGGTTTTACGTTTTGCTTGGGGCTCGGATCAGCCTGCGCAACCAGCCGCTCTTCCGCAGGGACCCGCGCCGCGTGAGCTAGCACGGTGCCCTGCTGAATGACGGCCGGCCGCGACCCAGCGTTTAAAACCATTACAAACGGATCCCTGTCAGCCCCAACCAAAGTGTGAGCCACCGACAAATCGAGACCTCCAACAGCCCTATTCGAAGGACCCAAAAGCATGCCTTGTTCCGAGGCCTCCCTCACCCATGGTTTCCGCAACCGGAGGGGAATTAACATTTGTGAACCCGGGGGCACGTGCACGGTCTGTGTCGCTAACGCTTGTATCGTAGCGCACGCCATCCGAATTTCAGTAGGGCTCGTCAAAAATGAAATACGGCGACCCGATGGTAGTTCAATGCAACGCTGATCAATGAGAATTTTGATGGGCATTTTTGCCAAAAAATCAGTGCCCAATAGACAAGGAACCGCCAGGGAGGACGAAACGAAAACGGGTCCCGACAATTTGATATCTCCAATGCAAATGGACGCCCTAATCTGACCGATAATGCCCAACGATCCCCCGTTAGCGGCGTAAAATGGCACATCCACCGGAAGAAGCGGACGACATTGTACAGGGAGAATGTTATAAATGAGGTCCGATATAATAGTCGCCGATGCCCCCGTGTCCACTAACACCCTGACCTCGACCCCATCAATAGATCCCGTAACGACGGATGAACCCGCTGAGGCAGCCACTATTCTGTGCCCCAACTCCGACCATTTAATGTCTCCCCGGTCCCGGCCGAACCCCCCTCGCCGAACCGAATCCCCGAACCCTACTCGGCTCTCCTCCGCCGCAACGCGACGGCCCATGCGTGTCGAGTATGCGGGCCGGGCATGTGAGGTGCCGCGACTTGCCGGGGTTTGCAGGGATGACTTGGGGCCTTGTTCGTCGTCCAGCCGAGGTCCCATGGCGCGCTGACGTGGGGCGCGGCAACCGGAGGCCACATGGCCCCGGAGGCCGCAGTTATAACACGTGATGACAGTCGTCGGAGATCTCGGTTGCTCCAGCTTGCGGGCCGATCGCAGAGGCGAACGACCCCCCGACCTTCAGTCCCCCGGGCGTCCCGCGATGAACGCCTCCTCTCGTGGGCTGACGACTTGGGGCACGGTGACTACCGGGCCCGGAGCTGAGGCCACGGCAGCGTTGCAGATGACCCCTTGTTTACGTTGAAGGACCTCGTGCGCTTGTATGCTCGTAGCGACCCGTAAGGAAGAAATATCGGTCTCGTCGGCCGTGTTGATGGGGACCCCCAGGTCCTGCGCCAACTTGAGCAGTTGCTCCAAAACCATGGCATCTTGGCCCTCCTCGTCCATACGAGGGAACGCGGCGTCGGCGAGAGCCAGCAACGCCGTGCGATAGGCGAGCACGGTTTCCGTGTCCGCCTTCCGTCTTGCATAAAAATGATGGCGACACGCCGAGGGAGGACCATAGACCTTGGCCATGAGAGCCAGCGCATCCTTGAGCGTGGAGCGGTCCGACCTGCGTGCGGACGTGAAGGCCGCGAGCGCGTTGTCGTCCAGCATGGCAGGCAGTGCCCGCAGTGCCGTAGCGTCGGACCAGGCGGACATCTCCTGATGCGCCAAAAACCTGCGCTGAAATTGGCCCCAGTCCCCGCCTTCCGCCTTGAAGGCTGACAACGTGGGAAGGCGCTGTTGAAAGATGAAGTCGTCCTCCTCCTCGTGCTTCCTCTCCGCCGCCCCGTTGGTGTGTAAGATGGCGGCCCCAGTGGCGGGTGTTTGATGGCGGTCCGCAGCGCGCGTTGGTGACGTAAGCGGGCACGCTTGGAGAACCGCTGCCACGTGGTGATGGCCGTTCCCGCCAAAAGTCGGCGCAGATGAAATGGCGGGAATCGCCAAGTCATTTTGGCGGGAATCTGCGGGGCGACCCTGTAGAACGTCCGCCGCCGTCCCCGCTCCTCCCGACGAGCTGATCTCCGCCAGGATGGACGCGGCGGCGAGCAGCAGCTCCGCCAGGCGGGAGTGCGCCTCGCGGAGCACGGCGTCGGTCCCCCGTCGCTCGTCCGGCGCCGTCGGCGGATCCTGCAGCGTGGGCAATTCCTCGTCCTCACCCCCCGATGCCAGCTGGCCCGAGTCGTCGAGGTTGTCCCCGCGGTCAATCCCATGGGTCCGACGGGTCTTCCTTGTATCCATGCTTGGAAGACCGTTTCACTTCTGACGCCAGTTGAAGTATTGGAATTGACGGCAGGAACTTCTTGACGGGTAACACACTTTTATTAAAGCTTGACGTGTCACAATACAACGGGTGGTCTCTATCCTTTGGACTATACACTCCACTTAACTCGTGTAGACTCTATGCTTCTGGCTACACACAATACACTTGACTCGTGTAGACCCTATGCCTCTGGCTACACACAATACACTTGGCTCGTGTAGACCCTATGCCTCTGGCTACACACAATACATTCGGCTCGTGTAGACTCTATGCCTATGGCTATACACACTATACTCGCCTCTGGGTTACACAGAGTCCCGGTCCCGTTAGGACAGCGGGACTAGGTACCGCAGGGCCCTATGTCTTCATCCCCGTCTTCATTCTTCGCTGGTTACATACTGCCCTTACGCCTGTGTGCATCCCCTTTTATAGCCCCTGCTCACGAGAGACGGAGCTGATGCGGACGTCGACGTGAGCATCGCTCCTTAGTGAACCAATCACGACGCACTCTCTCTACGATCCGTTTTCCCCAGCGCGTGTTAACACTACTCCACCAATCACACCGCGCTGCCACCCGGTCACTCCCTCTCAGCGCGTCACCGGCCCACAGCCAATCAGTACCCCGTAACCCACGACCCCGCGCTGACCCCTGAACCTCCACCGTCAGCGCGCGTCACCACATACACAGCCAATCATTACGCGCTGGCATACGATCCCTAATCCCAGCGCGTATCACCACTACACATACATACACAAGTACATGTACATGCACACACGTACACCACTAGCACACACACACCACTAGAACACACACACACCTCTAGCACACACACACAGACGCGTGGGTGAGCACATGCGGTCACCATGCCGACCTGCCAGGGTCGTGCGGCCGCGACGCCTTGAGCACGAAGCGGACGTGCGACGCCACCTCGTCGACGCTGAGTACGTCCCACAGCCCGTCCGTGCCCATCACCAGCACCTCGTCATCGTCCTCCTCCTCATCTCCGGGGTCACCCTGCCACAGCTTGTGCACCATCACCTGCACGCGCGGACCAGCGGCGAACACGGCTCAGTCCCACTGCTCCGTCTCTCCTCCTGCTCCCGTGAAATCTGTACACATCCATTGTATCGGAGAGTCCTCGGCTTCGATGCGTTTAGGATTCATTCGCTATTTATGTTTGTTCTGGCCAAACCTTCCCTCCGTAGAGCTGTACATGCAAAGGGAAATAATAAAAATAAAACATAATAAATTTATCACGACGTTTCGGCCACAACACAAGCAGCCGTCCTCAGGTGAAGAACAGACCTGTCGGAAAGACAGCGTTCTAATTAGAACGCTGTCTTTCCGACAGCTCTGTGTTGTGGCTCTGTGTTGTGGCCGAAACGTCGTGAGAATTTAATAATATTTAGTTTTTATTATTTTATTATTTCCCTTCTACGTGACTTTACCGAAAGATCCAAGAATATGAATCCCTGCAGTCACGAAAGCTTTAAATCGAAATTTAAACTGTACATGCAAGTTTTTCTCCTTTAAAAGCAGTGCATAGTACTGCATGGTCCAATGTGCGAATACTGTACCAATGTTTTATTCTGATAGAGCAGCGTCATTCCTGCAAACCGCAGATCAAAACGGAGCCACAGGAAGCCACAGACGAGAGGTGGGAAGGTAGCCAGAACCGTCACCAACGATTTCCCAAGCTCTCTGGTCCTATATTTGGATGTTTTGCCGACCCCACGAATGAGCGTTTATACAATGTAGTGCATGGTGATGCTGCATGGCAGTGTGTAGTAGTGCGTGGTTGGCGATGCTGCACGGCAGTATAGGCTGCTGCGCTACCGTACAGCATCACCATGCTGTGTGGTAGCATAGCAGGGTGGTGTAGGCTGCTGTGCTCTGGTGGAGGCCGTGCCTCCGGAGTGCTGCTCAGGAAGGGTTTGATGCAGATGTCCGTGTCGTGCACCACGAGGTCGTGGTTCCCAAAGCCCCGCGTCACGCCGATCGTGCTGAACAGCCGAGCCTGAGCACAGCACACGCAGCGGCGGTGTCAAGATTGGCCTCTGTGGAGGAGGAAGCTCCTGAAGGATGCTACTGGCGGTTGGAGGAAGTCGCCCTCGAGCGGAGGGCAGAGGAGCGAGGCTCACAATAACGAGCGGAGCGCCGGGCGGCTGAAACGCTGCTCGGTGGCGCAGTGGGGAGCACAGCTGCCGGTCGTCTCGGTCGACCCATGGGCACCTGAGTCTGTCTCGTGACCTCCTGCCAGCGAGCTTTCTACACTTCACGTGGCCTCAACGTGCACCTGGCCTGGCACAAGCACTGTGGCGAACGGCGACTGCTGTTTCTGTGCGTATAGATGTCATTACTTGTTGGCTGTGTATGCGTCAATCAACACTCTGGACAGCCTTGCGATGCTCTATCTGAAGGGATGGCCCTCCCAGTGGCGAGCAACCGATGAATGAAAATGAATTGAGACTCACCATTGTAACCTCCTTTGCCAGTAAAAAATATGATAATTGTTTTTTTTACCCTTTTATCTGGCAACAAAACTGACACCTTTTTTACAAGGTGTAAATGCTTACCCCGAGCTCTCATTCTGATGGTGCATTGTCTTTGAGTTGTGCGCCTTTTGGCGTCATCTGGTCCAATACCATGTGAGACTAGGCTCTAAGGAAAGCTGTCTCGGGTGTGGACCAATCAACTTCAAGGACAGTGCATACATTATCAGAGTTATGTTTTTTGTTTGCATTCTGACTGCAGGTATTGTGGTCTCTGCAAACATGACTCCTTATAAAAAAAAGGTGTCAGTTTTGTTGCCAGATAAAAGAGTAAAAAAACAAATATAATATTTTTTACTGGCAAATGAGGTTCCAATGGTGTAAATGCTTACCCCGAGCTCTCATACTCTGATGGTGCATTGTCTTTGAGTTGTGCGCCTTTTGGCGTCATCTGGTCCAACACCATGTGAGACTAGGCTTTAAGGAAAGCTGTCTCGGGTGTGGACCAATCAACTTAAAGGACAGTGCATACATTATCAGAGTTGTGTTTTTTGTTTGCATTATGACTGCAGGTATTGTGGTCTGTGCAAACATGACTCCTTGTAAAAAAGGTGTCTGAATCGAGACTGTGTCTGTGTCGACGTGTTGGTCGGGGCGTGCGCTCGTTACGTGCCCAGGGGGGCACCCACCTGTTTCCCCATGCCGCTGATGAGCGGGAAGCGCAGGTCCTCCTCAGTAGCCGTCTTATAGCCCCTGCGGGAACACGGCGCGGCACATCCTCCGTCAGCCAGTGCCACTGGCAGCGGCATCCAACGGTCGTCCCGCGTCTCCCTTCCACAAAACTCCCCCGTCTCCCCCTGAGTCTCCGTGTCTCCCTTTCACGTCTCTTCCTTGTCTCCCCGTGTCACCCACATCTACCCTGTGTCTCCCCTTGATATCACCCCACCTCTCCCTGGGTCTCCACTTCTTAAATCTCTCGTGCCCCACGTCTCCCTGGCATCTCCTTTCCACGTCGCCTGGTGTCTCCGTCTGCGTCACTCCCTGCGTCCATACATCTTCCCCGCGTGTGCCCCACCTCCCGTCCGTTTTCCTCTGCGTCTTCAGAAGCGTCCCCACGTCCCCCCCCCCCCCCCCTGTGCACCCCACCGTCTCTTTCTCTCCTCATGTCTCCCCTCCACGTGCGTCTCCCACATTTCCACGTGACCTCCTGGCGTGTGAGGAGCTCCGGGCAGGGAGGGCAGTGGGGGTGGGGCGGAGGGAGGGGGGGGCGACGCACCAGCCGGTCATGTGATGAGAGCGGTAGAGGACCCTCATGCCAAGGTCACGGCGTAGCACCCGGCACCCAAACTCCAGCGGCGTGAAGATCTCCTTCAGCAGCTCGGGATGCTCACTCGCCTGGGTGACAGCAGCGTCAAGAGACCGGGCCGTCAGTCTATTGTCTAGAGACCCCGCACAGACCGGCCTGTCAGTCTATTGTCTAGAGACCCCGTGAAGAGACCGGGCTGTCAGTTTATTGTCTAGAGAACCCGTCAGGAGACCGGGCTGTCAGTCTATTGTCTAGAGACCCAGTCAGAGATCGGGCTGTCAGTCTATTGTCTAGAGACCCCGTCAAGAGACCGGGCTGTCAGTCTAGAGAACCCGTCAAGAGACCGGGCTGTCAGTCTATTGTCTAGAGACCCAGTCAGAGACTGGTCTGACAGTCTATTGTCTAGAGACCCCATCAGAAACCGGTCTGTCAGTCTATTGTCTAGAGACCCTGTCAAGAGACTGGGCTGTCAGTCTATTGTCTAGAGACCCTGTCAAGAGACTGGGCTGTCAGTCTATTGTCTAGAGACCCCGTCAGAGACCGGCCTGTCAGTCTATTGTCTAGAGACCCCGTCAGAGGCCGGCCTGTCAGTCTATTGTCTAGAGACCCCGTCAGAGGCCGGCCTGTCAGTCTATTGTCTAGAGACCCCGTCAGAGACCGGCCTGTCAGTCTATTGTCTAGAGACCCCGTCAGAGACCGGCCTGTCAGTCTATTGTCTAGAGACCCAGTCAGAGATCGGGCTGTCAGTCTATTGTCTAGAGACCCCGTCAAGAGACCGGGCTGTCAGTCTATTGTCTAGAGAACCCGTCAAGAGACCGGGCTGTCAATCTATTGTCTAGAGACCCCGTCAGAGACCGGCCTGTCAGTCTATTGTCTAGAGACCCCGTCAGAGGCCGGCCTGTCAGTCTATTGTCTAGAGACCCCGTCAGAGGCCGGCCTGTCAGTCTATTGTCTAGAGACCCCGTCAGAGACTGGCCTGTCAGTCTATTGTCTAGAGACCCCGTCAGAGACTGGTCTGTCAGTCTATTGTCTAGAGACCCCGTCAGAGACCGGTCTGTCAGTCTATTGTCTAGAGACCCCGTCAGAGACCGGCCTGTCAGTCTATTGTCTAGAGACCCCGTCAGAGACTGGTCTGTCAGTCTATTGTCTAGAGACCCAGTCAAGAGACCGGTCTGTCAGTCTATTGTCTAGAGACCCTGTCAGAGACTGGCCTGTCAGTCTATTGTCTAGAGACCCCGTCAGAGACTGGTCTGTCAGTCCATTGTCTAGAGACCCAGTCAATAGACCGGTCTGTCAGTCTATTGTCTAGAAACCCTGTCAGAGACCGGCCTGTCAGTCTATTGTCTAGAGACCCCGTCAGAGGCCGGCCTGTCAGTCTATTGTCTTGAGACCCCGTCGGAGACCGGGCTGTCAGTCTATTGTCTAGAGACCCTGTCAAGAGACTGGGCTGTCAGTCTATTGTCTAGAGACCCTGTCAAGAGACCGGGCTGTCAATCTATTGTCTAGAGACCCCGTCAGAGGCCGGCCTGTCAGTCTATTGTCTAGAGACCCCGTCAGAGACTGGCCTGTCAGTCTATTGTCTAGAGACCCCGTCAGAGACTGGTCTGTCAGTCTATTGTCTAGAGACCCTGTCAAGAGACCGGGCTGTCAGTCTATTGTCTAGAGACCCCGTCAGAGACCGGCCTGTCAGTCTATTGTCTAGAGACCCCGTCAGAGACCGGCCTGTCAGTCTATTGTCTAGAGACCCCATCAGAGACCAGTCTGTCAGTCTATTGTCTAGAGACCCCATCAGAGACCAGTCTGTCAGTCTATTGTCTAGAGACCCCGTCAGAGACTGGTCTGTCAGGCTATTGTCTAGAGACCCCATCAGAGACCGGCCTGTCAGTCTATTGTCTAGAGACCCCATCAGAGACCGGCCTGTCAGTCTATTGTCTAGAGACCCCATCAGGGACCGGCCTGTCAGTCTATTGTCTAGAGACCCCATCAGAGACCGGCCTGTCAGTCTATTGTCTAGAGACCCCATCAGAGACCGGCCTGTCAGTCTATTGTCTAGAGACCCCGTCAGAGGCCGGCCTGTCAGTCTATTGTCTAGAGACCCCATCAGAGACCGGCCTGTCAGTCTATTGTCTAGAGACCCCATCAGAGACCGGTCTGTCAGTCTATTGTCTAGAGACCCCGTCAGAGGCCGGTCTGTCAGCTACATTGTCTAGAGACCCAATCAGAACCCAGGTAACTGGGTGACAGTATGAGTGGGAGCCAAGTGAACACGCGTGGCAAGACGGTTACCAGCCGTTGCAGCCGCTGCCTCTCTGTCGTGGGAGTGAATTCATGCGACATGGGGATGACGTCCCGGGCCCTCACGATGATAGCCCTGCACCCCACACACGCACGGCGCGCGCTTTCTCTCCGCTACCGCCACGCGAGGGCCCCCGCGCGAGGTCACACCCTCGCGATCGGGTGCCCGCAGGCCGAGTCGTGGGAACGAGCGGCCTGTGGGTCCGGGTCGAGCGTCAAAACGTTCGACCCGCGCAGCAGCGGAGGACAAGATAAGCGGTGGCACTCCCCCATCTGGACATCTCACGTCACCACCGCACGCTGCTAGACACTCTGCGAGTTCGAGGCAGCAAGAGGGTGGGAGTGCTTCAAGCACCAAGCACAACCATCTTTGTCTTACCAGTGCTGATATCCAACTAACCCTGAGCCTACACACACACACACATGTAAACAAGACAAAGATCCCACGTATAGCCTGAACAGGCTGTTGGGGCAAGTGCTGTTAGCGAGCACCTATGAAGGCCGGCACGGTACACGAGGGGGTGGGTGGCCAACACCACGCCCGGCCGCCTTTATCTCCCTAGCGGCGATGTTTACACATCACACCAGGTACTCATTTGAGGCTGAGTCGACCTAGGGGAGGCCCAGGAACGGTTCAGATAATCGTCACTGGTGTTGGCCATGAGCGGGAATCGAACTCGGGTCGCCAGGTTCATAGCGCAGCGTGCTAACCGCTACACTTCCGCTCCCCACACATGTAAACACACACACACACGTACACACACACACCCTTACAAAAATAACAACCGCTATTCGCCACTAAGTGGTGGTGACGTCACCACGGCGCTTGTGCCTGGCTATGTGGACGTTAAGGCCGTGCAAAGTATCGAACGCCTGCTGACAGGAGGTCGAGCTCTGGTCGGGTGCGAGGGGCTGGTAACCCCTCCACCTTCAACCCAAGTACCACTAAACCACGTGAAAAAAATCACACACACACACACACAAAGATAAAGATCCCCCGTATAGCCTTAACAGACTGTAGGGGCAAGTGCTGTTAGCGAGCACCTATGAAGGCCGGAACGGTACACGAACGAGGGGGTGGGTGGCCAGGACCACGCCCGACCGCCTTTGTCTCCCCAGTGGCGATGTTTACACACCGCACCAGGTACTCATTTAAGGCTGAGTCGACCTAGGGGAGGCCCAAGACCGGTTCAGATAATCGTCACTAGTGTTAGCCCGTGAGAGGGAATCGAACCTGGGTCGCCAGGTTTGTAGCGCAGGGCGCTAACCGCTACAATACCGCTCCCCACACACACATACGCACACACATACACACTTACACACACGCACACACATACACGCACACACATACACACACCGGCTGTCCCCAGCGTTGGCCACGTAGAGGTGGCCCAGTGCACACAGCGCCACCATCGCAGTGCAGCCACCGCGCAGGTCGAACGACACGCGCTCCCTCTCGATCTGTCGGTCCTGCACGCGGGGGAACAGGGAGGGGACAGGGGGAGAGGGGAGAAGGAGGGAGGGATTACAAAACTGATTGGTGAGATTTTCCGGTAAGAACTTACACCATAACACAACAAAAAAGCCACAAAATCTAGCACAATAGTTTTAAGTGGGTTTGCGAGGCAAATGTAAGAGTTGCACGATTTTGAAACAGGGCCCGCATCTTTCAAGGCTACTGTAAATGGTATGGCGGGGGTGAGCAGCACCGGCGCCGATTAGGTGAAGTACGGGACGTGACTCAAGACACACCGAGTAGCCGCACACAGCTCCATCACCAAACATCCACACCCCTCGCCCTACCACGTCTACGTGCGCCACTCGCCACCCCGCTGCTTAAACGGCAGAGGTCGCAACCGGGTACCCGATACCCGTACCCTACCCGATACCCGGCTACCCGTACCCGGCCGGGTACGCAGGTACGGGTACCCGTTTGCGACCCTGGTGCGGCCGGGTACGGGTAGGCCGTTAGTCACTGATGAGTAACCGTTTGTCACTCATTTCGGGTAGGGTATGGGTAGGATACGGCTACCTGTACTCGGCCGGGTATGGGTACGGGTAAGGAATCAAAACCCGTTTGCGACCTCTGTTAAACGGTGGCAACGGCGGTGCGGAGACGGACCGGGTCAAACTCGCGACCTTCCCACGGGAACCCGCACGCTCCGCCCGCGAGCGCCGCCCGGCTTCACCCACCATCTCGAGGAAGGCGCTCTCGATGGCGCCCACGACGATCTCGCCGTGCGACACGACGCGCCCGTGCCGCAGGCGCGCGGGCTCGGCCGGCGGCAGCGGCGCGTTGGGCGCGGCGACGGCGAACGGCGCGGGGCCGTCGGCCGCCAGGACCGGCGCCACCGTCTGCAGCGCTTGGCGCAGGAGGTGGTGCAGCGTGTGGGCCGCGGTGAGGGCCACGGCCGGACCGCCATGCCCGTCAAAGAGCGCCCAGTAGGGCAGCGCCTCCCCCACTGCGCCTGCGGGGACACGCGCGCGTCAGAGATGTGCGATACGCGAGCGAGCGATGCGTGTGACGTGGGTGATGTACGAGTGATGCGAGTATGAACGGCGCTTGTCAGCGGTGCCTGCTTGAGCGTCGCCTGTGTTGTCGGCACCTGTGAATGAGCTAACTGCTGCAGCTCTGCGATTTTCCAACACCACAGTTCCAGGGTTCTCCACGTCCTCGTTCGAAATGTTCCTGGGAGTTTTAGAATCGCGGTCCACGCCGCTCCCCAGAGCGTCGTGGGAGACCATCTCGAAGTCATCGTGCAGGAGGAGCTCGGCGTCAGGAGGTTGGTGGCAGACACGGCCCGGTGGCGACAAAGCCTCAGCCTTGTCTAGGAGAGCCGTGACCGCGCCGGCGGCTGCCTGGACACGGCCCGTGGGGTGTGAGAGGGAGAGAGTGGTGTTAGGGAGAATTAGAGTGTGACAATACCCCTTTAAAACACCGAGTGGAATTCTTTGGCAAGATTGATTCATGAATTAAATTCTGACATCAAATCGTGGCACTTTATCGAGTCGCACTGAGTGGGTGAACCGTTACAATTTGGCTCTGGCAATTTCCACTGAGCCCTGACCACTGAACACTCACCGTTGAAGACGCGTAAACCTGTGCCGGCTTGCCGCTCAATTCCCAAACCACTAAACTCGCACCGACTTGTGAGAGTCCAACAGCAACCGTGTGATGACCTGGCACCCATCATGGGAATGTGGAATGGCCACCACCGACTAAGGGCAGCCAAAGGACATGAGCGCCGCTCCACAGTCGTGCGAGAATAGACTCTGACTTCAACGTTTCGTTTTTACTATGATCCACATTGCCCAAAGCATGCTCACGCACGCAACAACAACAACCGCCATTCGCCACTAAGTGGCGGTGACGTCACCACGACGCTTGTGCCAGGCCAAGTGCACCTTGAGGCCACGTGAAGTGTCGAACGCCCGCTGGCAGGAGGTCACGGGGCAGACCCAGGTGCCACGCACACCTGTGGTCAGGCGCAGTGTGTGGGGAGCCATTCTTAACCAGCTGCTCGTTTCCCATCGTTTGTCACGTCTCCTTTGTTTGTCGATTACGATTTTTTTACACGCTTTTATTTAACTCACCTCGTCTGTTGTATCCTCAAAAAAGAAATCTTGTAACTAAATTTTTACCCACTTCCCAATTTGCTATCGACGGCTAACTTGAAATACCTATGTCATACTGATGACAATACTATATTCTATCATAAAATAAATCCAAAACATATATTTTTTAAACATTTTACACGCTTTTATTTAACTTACTCTGTGTGTTGTCGTATCCTAAAATCGTGTAACTCAATTTCAACCGTATTCCCAATGTAATCGTATCGACTGCAAACTTGGTATAGGTGTGTCATACTGATGACAATACTATATTCTATCATTGAAAATTTAAAATAAATATTTTTAAACGATCTTTTTTACGGCTCTAATTGTCCACGTTTACGGCTCTAATTGTCGACGCTCAACTCACGTTGGCCGTAAATCACCACGTGGTCCCTGACGTCACGGCAAGCTACGGGGAGCCATGCCGAGGGGCGGGGGATGTGGAAGGAGGGGAGGGGCGATGGGGGCAGGGGGAGGGGCAGCTCGGACAGTACATTTCATTAAAGCGTGTGTTTTTTAAAAAGTATTTAAAAATATTTTATTAGTTTGTAAAATGTCAGTGCCAGTGATGTAATGTCGAGTCTCGTCCATTTGTGGTCACATCCTTCGCCCTTTGGGGTTCTCACCGAGCCTCACGAGACCTCGTGCTCAACGGTGGCAGCTCCATCTCTCTCCACGGGAGAAACTACAGAAATGAACCACTGATTATAATCTGTCTGTACGGCATCTCGTACGTATGTGTGTATCTCAGCCGAACTGGTAATGATAGAGAACCAGAAATCTCTGAACCGCACGGAAGTGGAACCATCAAAGCTGGCGTTTCTCCTTTGCCAGGGTTTGCCGACATGCTTCTGAACTGCGGGGCTCATAGATAAGTGGAAGTCACACCAGTTCCCTTTTCACTCACAATGCACGCGGGCCATGTGATTAAACTCATATAACGATGTGTTTGGTCTGCGGAATTATCTCCGAGCCTCAGGAGTTGTTTTCAGGAGAGTCCTGCTCTCCTGTGGATGTTTGAGCACAGTTACATTGCAAGAAAGGTTTAATGTGTGGAGATCAATATTATCCATAAGAGGTGTTTGGGTTGGATCGCGTGAATATAAATGTGTCGTTAAACCCGCCACCTCCCGACACAGCCAATTAGTAAGGTTTGTCACGTAAAAAAAATGTGCCAATTTGTGACTAATACAGCACACCAGTGTGTTGGAGAGTAAACCCACAACATTTACAATTCAAGTACAACGTCTCGCCAGTAATTACAACTAGCATCATCAGGCGACAGCCAACTCTGGCTGTGGCCTGATGATGATCGTTGTAATTACTGGCTAAACTTCATACTCAAATTGTAAATGTTGTGGGTTTACTCTTCAATGTTGTGGGTTTACTCTCCAACGCACCGGTGTGCTGTACTAGTAATGAATTTGCACGTTTTGTTTACGTGAATGAACGTACTAACTGGCTGTGTCGGGTGGTGGCGGGTTTAACGACACATATTTATCTTCTTGGTTATTTCGGTAAAGTCACGTAGAAGGGAAATAATAAAATAATAAAAATAAAACATAATAAAACCAAATAGTTTAATATAATAAAATAATAATAAAATAAAATTTCCATTTTTATTTTATTATTTCCCTTCTATGCGACTTTACCGAAAGAACCAAGAAGATGAATCCCTGCAGTCACGAAAGCTTTAAATCGAGACACATATTTACTCGATCTAACCCAAAAGCCTCGATTGTGTAGACAGACTGGAGAACGCAGAGTGAACCTCCCACTCACTCCACGGCATGACACTCAAGGGCCCACGAGGTCAGGTTCACAACCCACTTGCTGTACTGCTTCTCCAGGCTATCCCAAAGTCCAGCAGTATTTGAGAGTTTCACTAAACTATGTGATCCATCGACGGCTGAAAAATCGCACGGAGCTTTTGAAACTCGTAAAACATGCCGGGCTGCAGAGTGGCCAACATATGGCAGTACAGCAAGTGGGTTTGAATCTGTCTGTTGCAGACTTTTTAGTGTTATACCCAGTGAACACAAGTCCCTCCCATGCAAATCATTAAGGACAAAATGAATTGGCCAAACATCCAAAATGTGGGACACTTCCTGAAAAAGAGCTTAAGATTTAATGTGACGCTTTTCCAGATAAAAAAAAAATCAGTGGCACGGTGTAGTGTTTAAATTTCGATTTAAAGCTTTTGTGACTGCAGGGATTCATCTTATTGGTTCATTCGGTAAAGTCACGGAACTTTACCAAAAGAACCAAGAAGAAAAAGTGTACTGTTTGTTAGTTTTAACACGTAGGCTTTCGCGACCAATATCATCCATAAGAGTTTTTTGAGTTAGATCGCTATTTTCTGGGATTTTTGCACACAGCGTTGGTGTACGGTGTTTTTTTTCTGCAATATTTTGCTGTCTTTTTTTGGATTTTCTGTTTGCACTCAGTCACATATTCACTTTAAGATGTTTTTTTATTCATGTTTTTGTTTTTTGTTTGTTGTGGTTGCATCCGATTCAAGAGCCGAATGGCTCACAGGGCTATACCTAATACGTGAACTTGAACTTCACATTACCTGGCTCCCCAGCCGTGACGATGTGTGCAGGGGTCCGTCCGTGCGGGCTGTGGGCGGCCACTCCATTGGCAGCATAAGGCAGGCTGCCTGGTCCTCGTTGCACCGGCTCTTGTTGTGGTTCGTGGCCCTTGACACGCGTGCGGACAGAAGCGTCACACGCGCACACCAGTGGATAACGCCGGGACCAGCGGCGAGTCACCGTCGGCTGGCGCGCTGCGCTCCTATTCCCGACAATTCCATTGCTCTATGAGACATCTCCTTTACCAGTGGCAGAATATAGTAGTAAGTTTTTACCCTTTCAACTGGTACAAAAACTGACACCTTTATACAAGGGATCATGTTTGCGCCTTTTGGCGTCATCTGGTCCAACACCAATGGAGACTGGGCTCTAAGAAAAGCTGTCTCGGGTGTGGACCAATCAACTTCAAGGGCAGTGCATATCATTATCATCATCGGAGTTGTTTCTTTTTGTTTGCATTTTGACTGCTTGTGTTGTGGTTATTGCAAACATGATCCCTTGTATAAAGGTGTCAGTTTTTGTACCAGTTGAAAGGGTAAAAACCTACTACTATAATTCCATTGCTGTTTGTGATGCGCAACAAATCCTGGGGGTCAACCGCGTTTGATTTCCCCCACGGTTCACTCGGCATAGCCAAACCTCCACAACTCACTCACTCGGCATAGCCGCAACCCCTACGACTCACTCGGCATAGCCACACTCCCACGACTCACTCGGCATAGCCAAACCTCCACAACTCACTCACTCGGCATAACCGCGCACCCCTACGACTCACTCAGCATAGCCGCAACCCCACGGCAAGCCCGCCGCACCGGGGCGCACAGCCCGCACCACCGAGCAACCGTCCGGCTGCGTTTCCTGCTGCTGCTGCTGCTGTTGCTGCTGCTCGTGTAGCTCCCGTTGCTGCTTTCCGTGCGGAGGTTGCTGTTCTTGCTCCTCCTGCTGCGTCTCCTGCCTCTGCTCCCCCAGGTGCTGGCATTGCTCCTCCTCCACCTGCTGCTGTTGTTGCTGCTGCTGCATCTGCTGCAGCTCGACCTGCTGCTTCTCCTCTCCCTCCTGCTGCGTCCGATGCTGCTGCTGCGGCTGTGGGTCCTGCCGCTGCTCTGCGGGCAGCACGAAGGCAGGCCGGTTTGATGGGTAGCGCTGCGGCAGCGCCCCGTAGTCGGGTCGGCTCTGGTTTCGCAACCCCTGACCCGTCGGCTTTCCTTCCCGGCCGGGTTCCGCTCCGTCACCAGGTCCCGGTTCGACTCCAGTCCCGGCTCGCGGACTCCGCGTGCCGCTCCGGTGCAGATACTGCGCGGCCATCCGAGACACGTGATCCTGGAGGCTACTCAACATTGCCGCGGCTCGCTTGGCAGCTACGGCTACGACTGACGTGGCCGCTGCTGTCACGGTTATAGCGGTGACGTCGACTAGAACTCGAGCTATAAGTCCATGGTGGCGTCTTCACGGGACTCCTGTGACGATCTTGATCTGTGCGACAGATTGAAGAGAAATCATCACACGCAGTGTGAGCGCAGGCAACACGACGGGCGGTGAAACGCAGGCGAAGAATCCTCTTATCCGCGATATGGGCGGCCCAAATCGTAGATCCGATTAATTGTAATAGTTGTAGGTAATAGGGCCACGAATAATAGTTTTGTAGGGATTTTCAGCTGCCACGGTTAATTGGGGTTGTAGGTAATAGGGGTTGCAGATAATAGGGGTTTCAGATCATAGGGCCTGCAGGTAATAGGGGTTGTAGGTAATAGGGGTTGCAGATAATAGGGGTTCCAGATCATAGGGCCTGCAGGTAATAGGGGTTGTAGGTAATAGGGGTTGCAGATAATAGGGGTTCCAGATCATAGGGCCTGCAGGTAATAGGGGTTGTAGGTAATAGGGGTTGCAGACAATAGGGCCTGCAGGTAATAGGGGTTGTAAGTAATAGGGGTTGTAAGTAATAGGGGTTGCAGATAATAGGGGTTCCAGATCATAGGGCCTGCAGGTAATAGGGGTTGTAGGTAATAGGGGTTGCAGACAATAGGGCCTGCAGGTAAAAGGGGTTGTAAGTAATAGGGGTTGTAGGTAATAGGGCCTGCAGGTAATAGGGGTTGTAGGTAATAGGGGTTGTAGGTAATAGGGGTTGCAGGTAATAGGGGTTGTAGGTAATAGGGGTTGTAGGTAATAGGGGTTGTAGGTAATAGGGGTTGTAGGTAATAGGGGTTGTAGGTAATAGGGGTTCCAGATAGTAGGGTCGCGGTTCGAGGAGCTCTCACGCAGTGTAAACAACATCGGAAACAGGAAGGGAAGCATGTACTGTACAAGTGATTCATAACAAAACAAAACCCCAAAGCTGTCGCCACCACAAGTCAACAACACAGCAGTCAATACAACCCGCACGAAGTAGACAAACCACATGTGGTGGCTTACAGCAGTAGACACCAACAGCGACTCCTGGATTACCAATGGCTGTGGGCAACATAGGCAGCAGCAGCAGCTGTACAGCCGGCGTACATTCATAAAAGCAACGGCACTTACGAGTGACACACATTAAGGTCACGCAGTTCGGGGTAGTCAGCAAGGGGACAATCATAACACAGAGACGGCAACAATAACACCAAGCCGCAGCAACAGCAGCCAACAGCAGTAACAGCAGTAACAGCAGCCAACAGCAGTAACAGCAGCAACAGCAACAACAGCAGTAACAGCAGCAACCGCAACAACAGCAGTAACAGCTGTAGCAGCAGTCACAGCAACAACAGCAACAGCAGTAACAGCTGTAGCAGCAGTCACACAGCAACAACAGTAACATCAGCAACAACAGCAGTAACAGCAGCAGCAACAACAACAGCAGCAACAGCAGTAACAGCTGTAGCAGCAGTCACACAGCAACAACAGCAACAGCAGTCACAGCAGCAACAACAGCAGTCACAGCAGCAATAGCAGTAACAGCAGCAGCAGCAGTAGTCACAGCAACAACAGCGGTAGTAACATCAGCAGCCGTAGCCCTGTGGTTTATTAGGCAGGAAGCTCCACACACACACAGCAAGTGGACAACAGCAGAGACAGCTGCACCTGAAGCAGAGACAGCTGCACCTGAAGCAGGGACAGCGACACAGCAGCTCACCACCTACACAGCTCACCACCTGCACAGCTCACCACCTACACAGCTCACCACCTGCACTGCTCACCACCTACACTGCTCACCACCTACACAGCTCACCACCTACACAGCTCACCACCTACACAGCTCACCACCTGCACAGCTCACCACCTACACAGCTCACCACCTGCACAGCTCACCACCTACACAGCTCACCACCTGCACTGCTCACCACCTACACTGCTCACCACCTACACTGCTCACCACCTACACTGCTCACCACCTGCACTGCTCACCACCTGCACTGCTCACCACCTACACTGCTCACCACCTGCACAGCTCACCACCTGCACAGCTCATCACCTGCACAGCTCACCACCTGCACAGCTCACCACCTACACTGCTCACCACCTGCACTGCTCACCACCTGCACTGCTCACCACCTACACTGCTCACCACCTGCACAGCTCACCACCTGCACTGCTCACCACCTGCACTGCTCACCACCTGCACAGCTCACCACCTACACAGCTCACCACCTGCACTGCTCACCACCTGCACAGCTCACCACCTACACAGCTCACCACCTGCACTGCTCACCACCTACACAGCTCACCACCTGCACTGCTCACCACCTACACAGCTCATCACCTGCACAGCTCACCACCTACACTGCTCACCACCTACACAGCTCACCACCTGCACTGCTCACCACCTACACTGCTCACCACCTGCACTGCTCACCACCTGCACAGCTCACCACCTACACAGCTCACCACCTGCACAGCTCACCACCTGCACAGCTCACCACCTACACAGCTCATCACCTGCACAGCTCACCACCTACACTGCTCACCACCTACACAGCTCACCACCTGCACTGCTCACCACCTGCACAGCTCACCACCTGCACTGCTCACCACCTGCACAGCTCATCACCTGCACAGCTCACCACCTGCACAGCTCACCACCTGCACAGCTCACCACCTACACAGCTCACCACCTGCACAGCTCACCACCTGCACAGCTCACCACCTGCACTGCTCACCACCTGCACAGCTCACCACCTGCACTGCTCACCACCTGCACAGCTCACCACCTGCACTGCTCACCACCTGCACAGCTCACCACCTACACAGCTCACCACCTACACAGCTCACCACCTGCACTGCTCACCACCTGCACAGCTCACCACCTGCACAGCTCACCACCTGCACAGCTCACCACCTGCACAGCTCACCACCTGCACAGCTCACCACCTGCACTGCTCACCACCTGCACAGCTCATCACCTGCACTGCTCGTCACCTGCACAGCTCACCACCTACACAGCTCGCCACCTGCACTGCTCGTCACCTGCACTGCTCATCACCTACACAGCTCGCCACCTGCACTGCTCATCACCTGCACTGCTCACCACCTGCACTGCTCGTCACCTACACAGCTCGCCACCTACACAGCTCATCACCTGCACAGCTCACCACCTACACAGCTCACCACCTACACAGCTCACCACCTACACAGCTCACCACCTACACAGCTCACCACCTACACAGCTCACCACCTGCACTGCTCACCACCTACACAGCTCACCACCTACACAGCTCACCACCTACACTGCTCGTCACCTGCACTGCTCATCACCTGCACTGCTCACCACCTACACAGCTCACCACCTACACTGCTCACCACCTACACAGCTCACCACCTGCACTGCTCACCACCTACACTGCTCACCACCTGCACTGCTCACCACCTGCACAGCTCACCACCTACACAGCTCACCACCTGCACAGCTCACCACCTGCACAGCTCACCACCTACACAGCTCATCACCTGCACAGCTCACCACCTACACTGCTCACCACCTACACAGCTCACCACCTGCATTGCTCACCACCTGCACAGCTCACCACCTGCACTGCTCACCACCTGCACAGCTCATCACCTGCACAGCTCACCACCTGCACAGCTCACCACCTGCACAGCTCACCACCTACACAGCTCACCACCTGCACAGCTCACCACCTGCACAGCTCACCACCTGCACTGCTCACCACCTGCACAGCTCACCACCTGCACTGCTCACCACCTGCACAGCTCACCACCTACACAGCTCACCATCTGCACAGCTCACCATCTGCACAGCTCACCACCTGCACTGCTCACCACCTGCACAGCTCACCACCTGCACAGCTCACCACCTGCACAGCTCACCACCTGCACTGCTCACCACCTGCACAGCTCATCACCTGCACTGCTCGTCACCTGCACAGCTCACCACCTACACAGCTCGCCACCTGCACTGCTCGTCACCTGCACTGCTCATCACCTACACAGCTCGCCACCTGCACTGCTCATCACCTGCACTGCTCACCACCTGCACTGCTCGTCACCTACACAGCTCGCCACCTACACAGCTCATCACCTGCACAGCTCACCACCTACACAGCTCACCACCTACACAGCTCACCACCTACACAGCTCACCACCTACACAGCTCACCACCTACACAGCTCACCACCTGCACTGCTCACCACCTACACAGCTCACCACCTACACAGCTCACCACCTACACTGCTCGTCACCTGCACTGCTCATCACCTGCACTGCTCACCACCTACACAGCTCACCACCTGCACTGCTCGTCACCTGCACTGCTCATCACCTGCACTGCTCACCACCTACACAGCTCATCACCTGCACAGCTCACCACCTACACAGCTCACCACCTGCACTGCTCACCACCTACACAGCTCACCACCTACACAGCTCACCACCTACACAGCTCATCACCTACACTGCTCATCACCTGCACAGCTCGCCACCTGCACTGCTCATCACCTGCACAGCTCATCACCTGCACTGCTCATCACCTGCACAGCTCACCACCTACACAGCTCACCACCTACACAGCTCACCACCTACACAGCTCACCACTTACACTGCTCACCACCTACACAGCTCACCACCTACACAGCTCACCACCTACACAGCTCACCACCTGCACTGCTCACCACCTACACAGCTCACCACCTACACAGCTCACCACCTGCACTGCTCACCACCTACACAGCTCACCACCTACACAGCTCACCACCTACACAGCTCACCATCTGCACAGCTCACCACCTACACAGCTCACCACCTACACAGCTCACCACTTACACTGCTCACCACCTACACAGCTCACCACCTACACAGCTCACCACCTACACAGCTCACCATCTGCACAGCTCACCACCTACACAGCTCACCACCTACACAGCTCACCACCTGCACTGCTCACCACCTACACAGCTCACCACCTGCACTGCTCACCACCTACACAGCTCACCACCTACACAGCTCACCACCTACACAGCTCACCACTTACACTGCTCACCACCTACACAGCTCACCACCTGCACAGCTCACCACCTGCACTGCTCACCACCTACACAGCTCACCACCTGCACAGCTCACCACTTACACTGCTCACCACCTACACAGCTCACCACCTACACAGCTCACCACTTACACTGCTCACCACCTACACAGCTCACCACCTGCACAGCCTACCACCTACACAGCTCACCACCTACACAGCTCACCACCTGCACTGATCGTCACCTACACAGCTCATCACCTACACAGCTCACCACCTACACAGCTCACCACCTACACAGCTCATCACCTACACAGCTCACCACCTGCACAGCTCATCACCTGCACAGCTCACCACCTACACAGCTCACCACCTACACAGCTCACCACCTACACAGCTTACCACCTACACAGCTCACCACCTACACTGCTCACCACCTACACAGCTCGTCACCTACACTGCTCACCACCTGCACAGCTCACCACCTGCACAGCTCACCACCTGCACAGCTCACCACCTACACAGCTCACCACCTGCACTGCTCACCACCTACACAGCTCACCACCTACACTGCTCACCACCTGCACAGCTCACCACCTGCACAGCTCACCACCTGCACAGCTCACCACCTGCACAGCTCACCACCTACACAGCTCACCACCTACACAGCTCACCACCTGCACAGCTCACCACCTACACAGCTCACCACCTACACAGCTCACCACCTACACAGCTCACCACCTACACAGCTCACCACCTACACAGCTCACCACCTACACTGCTCACCACCTACACAGCTCGTCACCTACACAGCTCATCACCTACACAGCTCACCACCTACACAGCTCACCACCTACACTGCTCACCACCTACACAGCTCACCACCTACACAGCTCACCACCTGCACAGCTCACCACCTACACAGCTCACCACCTACACAGCTCGTCACCTACACAGCTCACCACCTACACAGCTCACCACCTACACAGCTCACCACCTACACTGCTCACCACCTACACAGCTCGTCACCTACACAGCTCATCACCTACACAGCTCACCACCTACACAGCTCACCACCTACACAGCTCACCTCCTGTACTGGGCGAGTGCCCCATCATCATCACCATCACGAGCTCAGTGCGGAACTTACCGAGACAGGCGAGGAGGAAGCTGCAGCGGCGGCACTTGGGATCAGCTGATGCGAGTACAGTGCAGCCTGTAACAAGTACAGCCTGTAGCTGGTACAGCATGTAACTAACACAGCATGCAACAGGTACAGCATGTAACAGATACAACCTGTAACTAACACAGCATGTAGCTGGTACAGCATGTAACAGATACAGCCTGTAACAAATACAGCGTGTGGCTGGTACAGCATGCAGCTGGTACAGCATGCAACAGGTACAGCTTGTAGTTGATAACAGCATGTAGTTGACACAGCTTGTAGTTGACACAGCCTGCGACTGGTACAGCTTGTAGTTGATACAGCCTGCGACTGACACAGCCTGCAGTTGAATCGGCAGAGTTTGTAATCGCGACAGTCGAAAACCGACAAGAGGAGTCGATGCAGTCCGCGACGATGAGTTTCGAGGGGGGCCCCTGGGGCGAGTTCCGAGGGGGGCCCCGAGGGGGGCTCCGAGGGGGGCCCTTGGGGCGAGTTTCGAGGGGGGCCCTTGGGGCGACTGCGCGAGTGGAAGCCCCCGGGCACTGAGCTCGCCACTTCCTGCAGTGACTCGACTATAGAGACAAAGACAAAGCTCCCCCGTGTAGCCTTCACAGACAAGTCCCGGGGGGGGGCTAACACCGCGCCCGGCCGCCTTTGTCTCCCCGGGGCTGATGTGGAACACACCGCACCAGGCGGCGATTTAAGGCTGAGTCGACCTAGGGGAGAGGCACAGGGCCGGTTCTGAACGGTTATAATTGGCGGTGAGCGGGAATCGAATTCGGATGGCCGGGTTCGTCGTTGAGTGCGCTAACCACTGCGCCACCGCTCCTCCACTGACAACCTTGAGACCACGTGGAGCGTGGAAGGTCCTCGCCGCTGCCCAAGGACGTCATGGGACTGAGAAGACTGCCAGACAGTATTAGTCTGCGCCAACTCGCTGTGTTTGTTGAAACTCCACGGCGCTCCGCTCGTTGTTCTCCACCCTCCGTGATTGTCGGAGGGCGACTGCCTTCAAATGTCACGTCGCTCTGGCGTGCACCTAGCCTGGCACTTCGCAGTGCCAGGCTAAGGGGCAATAGGCCGATCTTGACATCGCTGGCACCAAACATCGGCAAGTCCACTCAGCTTGACACCCTCCCCTACCACACCACAGAGGTCGCAACCGGGTACCCGATACCCGTGCTCTACCTGATACCCGGCTACCCGTACCCGGCCGGGTACGGGTAGGCCGTGAGTCACTGGTGAGTAATTGTTTGTCACTCATTTCCCAACGTCTTGTCTCTTCTCACAATTCAAGTTCCTAGAATCAACCCACCCACGCCTGCAACATGGCTTCATTCCAGAGGTCGCAATCGGGTACCCGATACCCGTACCCTACCCGATACCCGGCCGGTACGGTTAGCCGGATATCGGGTAGGGTACCCATTTGCGACCCTGGTGCGGCCGGGTACGGGTAAGGAATCAAAACCCGTTTGCGACCTCTGCATCGCTGGCACCAAACATCGGCAAGTCCACTCGGCTTGACACCCTCCCCTACCACACCATCCCCTACCACACCCTCCCCTACCACACCCTCCCCTACCACACCCTCCCCTACCACACCCTCCCCTACCACACCCTCCCCTACCACACCCTCCCCTACCACACCCTCCCCTATCACACCATCCCCTACCACACCCTCCCCTACCACACCATCCCCTACCACACCCTCCCCTACCACACCCTCCCCTACCACACCATCCCCTACCACACCCTCCCCTACCACACCCTCCCCTACCACACCCTCCCTACCACACCCTCCCCTACCACACCCTCCCCTACCACACCATCCCCTACCACACCCTCCCCTACCACACCATCCCCTACCACACCCTCCCCTACCACACCCTCCCCTACCACACCATCCCCTACCACACCCTCCCCTACCACACCATCCCCTACCACACCCTCCCCTACCACACCCTCCCCTACCACACCATCCCCTACCACACCATCCCATCTCGAGCCGTGCCAGGGTCGCTTCGCTCCCCCCGCCTCTATCCGGCCAAACAGAATCTGCACCGTGGGGCAACATCCACGTCTTTCAGGACGTGTGAGCTCCTCCTCCTCCTCATTACGCAACGCAGCGTCAATCCGTGCCAACGCTCTGTCCTTCTCACTCTCGCTCCCTCCTCCACGTGTCAAGATTCCCCAAGTTGTAGACCACTTTGGGCTTGTTGTGTCGTAGACATTGGTTCCTGCGGGGCTTAGACCACGGGGTCGTCAACAAGAATAACAAGAAGTGTAATTGTCTTCTTGGTTCTTTCGGTAAAGTCACGTGGAAGGGAAATAATAAAATAATATAAATATAAAACAATAAAAATTATCACGACGTTTCGACTGCAACACAAGCAATCATCATCAGGTGTGAAATCCACAGCAAGAAAATTGCTGTGGATTTCACACCTGATGATGATTGCTTGTGTTGCAGTCGAAACGTTACCACGATGTCGGGGAGGGTGGGGGGAAGGGTAAACATGTCCACTCATCCAACTGCCCCCCCCCCCGAACGCCGCGCTGTCCAACCAAGTTCCTATCTGCCCACTCCGAAGGAACGTTTAACCTACTCACGCCGGCTTGTGCCCACCCTCACAGTCGGGCATATTTGCGGAATACACCACGCCGCCGTTGACCCTGGCCATTGACCGAGCAACCCAACGTTCCTACCAGCTCCCTCCGCAGGAATGTGTTTAATTGGTTGCGCTCTTTCATTTTCTCAATTGCCTGCCCATAATTGTTTGGCCATGGCTGGGTCGGGTGCCTTGCAATGTTACCGAAGCCATCATGAGACCTCCTTTGCCAGTATTAAATTACGTATTGTCTCTCTCTGCTTGTGTGTCTGTATGTGTGACTGTGTTTCTCCGTGTATGTGTTTTGTCTCTCAAATTTAGCAATCTTTGGAAGAACGTAATCAGCCAGGTAGGGTGCTGACTGTTGTGTTAGCCGACTCTCTGTGTTGAATTGCATTGTATTTCTAAGTTTACTAGGTTTGTTTTCTACCTGATGATTGCTTGTGTTGCAATCGAAACGTCGTATTCTATTATTTAATTTATTTTCTTTCCTACGTGACTTTACCGAAATAACCAAAGAGTATGATAATAGGCGTTTCCCCTTTCTGGCAATAAAAGAAATCTGTCTCTGGTTTGGACCAATAAGTTTCAAAGACAATGCACATACTGTCAGAGCATGTTTCTTTTGTTTGCATGTTCACCACAAGTATGTGTGGTGAATGCAGTGACATGATTCCTTGCAAAGGTTTCAGTTTAGTGTTTTAACATCTTAACACAGCTGTTTATTGCCAGAAAGGGGAAAACACATCATTACCGAAGCCAACGCATTTCATGTTTTAAAATCCTTTATATTAAGTTCACTTGCTTGCTTGCTTGCGCGCTTACGACCGTGCAAATTTTTCGGTCGTTATTTAACCCACTTCCAGTGATCCAATCGAGCTGACATTTTGCACACAGACTCGCGTGACAATTTCTTTTCGTGAAAATTTTTTTTCCAAAATGTTACACTTTTTAGGTAATTTTTAAAATATTTAATTACCAATTGCTTAATGGTGGCAGGCAATCATCTGACCCATAGGTGGCAGCCATCTCAAGCCAGAGGACGAGAGGACTCGAGCCGCCCGTTTCAAAGACCAATGTGGGCTGGGTTGTGGCCCATTGAACACGCATATAAAGGATTTATAGTGAAAAACTTTGTTTTTACGGGTTAATTTTTTTTCCATACCTGTTGGGCCTGCCTAGCCACCCGTGTCTTGGCCCTACTCTTCTGGCCTCCATACCGACGTCTCGTGCAGAGGCCTAATCTCCAGCATGGAGACTCGCACGAGGCCTTGCTGCCCACCTGGACACTGGGACAAGCGTGCAGCACGTGTCGGTGTTGATCTCGGTCAAGGTTTGACCACTGCTGAAAACAGAACGCGTTATTGGGGGGTTGATGATGCTGCTGCTGCTGTTGCTGCGTTGGCAGTGGTGGACAAAGAACAAAGCCTGAACACGTGCGTCTATAATAAACTGTTAAGCGCTTACTAGGCAACGCGGCTGCCTGTATTGAAGGCTGTGACTCGGCTTATGCCTGCGTGGTGTGTCTGACATGGCTATGATGGGCCCCATGAGTGGGAGACACGCAGACGCACCACCGAGGCAGGAACTCGGCAGCGCTGTGCTCGGTGTTTGCTGATCAAGTCATGATGATTGATCCTAAGGCAGAGACAGACACCCAACCACACCCTGAACTGTGTCCCCTGGATCTCATTGGAGTTCGTTGACTACGTGACTTGGCCATTGTGAACCCCGTGGTGGGAGGAGAGAGGAACACATTTTTTTTTTTATTACGATCAGTGGAAACAAGAAGATGCTCGGTGTATTCGGCACTTTGCTTCGTTCAAAATTTCGTCATTTTTTTTTAAATAGCTTTATGTAAAACCCCCACCTCTCGCTCACTCTCTCGCTCACTCTCTCTCTCGCTCTCTCTCGTTCTGCACGCAGCCCTTCTTGCAGTCCGACGGTCTCCGACGGGTAGCTCATATCAGCATGCAGAGCTCCCCGTCATCTGCCACGGAGCACACGGCCTCCTCCATCGCCCACTGCTCCTTAAAGGCCGGCACGGCGTGGGTCAGCCGCGCATGGCGGAACTCCAGCCACACACCCTGGCTCCGACCAGAGCGCGGAAGATGCCCAGGCTGTTGGCCGGACGTTTCCCCTCCAGGGCCACCTTCCTCGCCCTGTAAATGGCGAGCTTGGCGTAGCCGACGAGCACGTTGACCAGCCCCTGGACACTCAGTCACAGGTTCTAATCGTTCACTGGCAGCGCCCGTGTCTCAAGTGTCCTGTCGCTGCCATTTTCAACTCCGTGTCACTCGAGCGCTTTAAAAGGCACCAGGGACAGACCTTTGCACCTCTACGAATATTGGAATTTGTATTAATTAACAAATCTAACTGGGCAACGAGTTATCCATCTCTAGCAGGCTAAATTATAACCTTAAAAAATATGCCCGCCTGAGCATTTTTTGCTTGTTTTATGCAGATAGGTCAATTTAATATCGGGCCTTCAGAATTGAGGATCGTTTAATCGTTACATGTATTAACGTGAGCGTGCGTGAAGAGTCCGTCCTGGGTACCGTATATAACAGGGGACGCAGGCGCAGATGAGTATCACACGACCAAGAGCTTCTTCAGCGGTCTCCTGTCATCCACCTTGGGGCGACAACGCCGTGCATCTCGCCTCCGTCTCGCCTACCTGTCAGGGTTGCCGCGCGCCTGCGACTCAGCAGTAACGGTACGAGTGTCTGGATTTGCCCCCCCCACCCCCCCACGTTCTAAATGCCACAGTGTCACAATCCATCCATCACCGTTATCAGCAATGACCTATCTACTGCTCGATGAAGACCTGGCCAATACCGTTTCCATCTTCCACCATCTGGTGATGCAACAATCCATCAATCACGGACGGCACCTGCCCACCAGCTGATATAACTGCTCCGTCTCCGAATTCATTCACCATTTCTTTCTGGCCTGGACTTTTGCAGCTGTTTTAGACTAATTTCAGGGTGCCGATTCCAAATCTGATCTCAGATTTGCTCTATCACATCTCATTTTTATGCTATCGGCATGCCCCATTTTCATTGATTTTACCCGAAATTAACCCTGTCACTTATGATTGCAAGTTGTTGCGAGTCAGTGACTGCTTTAGTGTTAAAATATGGTGCTGTATTTTTAGGATAGTGTGTTTATAATATAATTTTATGCAGATATCCACATTTATTTAATATTTTTCTTCTGCAGCTTTTATTAAAAATGCAATATTTGATATCTCAAAAACCTGATGTGATAGACAAAAACTGATGCCAGATTTGGAATCAGGGGGGATGCCCCCCCCCCCCAATATGTATTATAGTTACAGCCTTGGGGTCAGCTCATTGGACTTGCGGTTCAGAGGTCGCCGATTTCATTCCGTCTCCTGGCGCGGTGGTTGAATCTGCCTCTGTCCACCCATCAGTGTAAATGGGTTCCAGCGCAGAGTCTGCGATGGGCAGGTCGCGAGCGATGAGTTAAGGTGTGGGCACGCCAGCCTCTTCCAAGACGTTTGGTCAGCGTGGAAGAGAAGACCAAATACACCCTCTCTAGAGCTTCCTCGAGTGAACAGCAGGCGTCTTGTTGGTCTGTTTTGTTATGCAGAGCAGTCGTAGTTGAGTACCTTTACTGGTGTAGTGGTGTTAACTACTCGCTGTTCGCAAACTGTGAGAGAGCGGATCGTAAACAAGGTTTCCCCGCTCAATCAAACGGTCAGGGTCAAAGGGGGTGAGGTAGGATCCAAACGCCAGATTGGGAAGGACCAATCGGAGGGTCCCACAAGGTGGCCGGGGATTGGACAACCCGGCCACGAACAGGTATAAAAGCCAGAGCGCTGAGAGCTCTTGGCCAGTTCTGCTACACGAAGACCCAAGTCGGCCGAAGACATCTAGGACCCTGGACCAAGCCCTCCAGCCCTTATCAGGGCTAGGGCTCAGAGTAACCAGCGGTCGGGGAGTAATCCCCTAGGTCCAGCCAGAGGACGCTGGGAGAGCAGGGAGATTAGATAGCCTGCAAGGTCCGGAGGCTTGTACCTTCTGAGGGTAACGGGTGAGGGGACCGTATACCCCCTTTGTGTGATAGGGACTGTGTATTAAGGTAATAAACAGTGTGTGCCATAAAGAAATTTAGAAGTCCGTCCTTTACAACACTACACTGGTATCATTCGAACGGTGTTGTTTGAGACTAATATGCTACGATATGCGACCCTTGCCTGGGCCTCCTCTACGTCAACTCAGCCTGAACTGAGTGTAGGGAGCAGCTGTGTGAAGGAGGTGCTGTGTCTGTGTTGGCTGCTGCTGCTGCTGGACAGGACGGGAAGCCTCACAAGCACGCGTTCGTGCTGAGCCCCGAGGTGGAGTTCTACTGTGACGTAGAGGCCCAGCAATACGGTGCAGTCTTCATCATCATCATCATCGATCAATAATCGCCAATCATCAGTCGTCATCGATCATTAACCATAATCATCATTGATACTCAATACGCAATCATCATCGTCGATAATTATCATTGATAATTTATCAACATCATCAATCATCGCCCACCATCAAAGAAACATCACCGACCATCGATCATCATCATCTCAATTATCATCATTATCGTCGTCATCGATTGCCACCACCCTGCTCCGTGCTGCCCCCCCCCACTGCTTTCCCCCCCGCTGCCCCCCCCCCCGCTGCCCCCCCCCCCCCGCTGCCCCCCCCCCCCCGCTCTCTTCCCGCTCCCCTCCCCCCCCGCTGCCCCCCTCCCGCTGCCCCCCCCCGCTGACCCCCCCCCCGCTCCCCTCCCCCCCCCGCTCCCCTCCCCCCGCTCCCCTCCCCCCCACTGCCTTCCCACAGGGCCGCCGCTCGTCCGTTCGGGGCTGCGCGGGCTGCGCGTGCTCAAGACGGCCCAGTCGGGCTTCGAGGGCTTCGCCCGGGAGGGCTTCACTTCGCTCGAGGAGAGCCGCGACCGCCTCTTCTGCACCGAGATGGAGCCGCGCTGGGCCTTCCAGCGCGGCCTCCCGCTCAGCGCCCGCGACTACGACGAGGCCAGGTGCCCCGCAGACTCGCTCGTTGATTTCATCACAAAGTCACCCAAACACTCGTTCACTCGCGCGCTCTTAAAGGTGCATTGAAAAATTTGATATTCCGACTGATGCTCCTACTGTTGTGGAGTGGCTCATGCAGCCAGCTATGGCTGCAGGGTTTTGGTGGTACATGTTGTTTATGTCGTTTATTGGGAAAATTCGGTCACAGTTCCTATGATCACTGTTACATTGCTATTATGGCTTTATTTTGGTGATTTCGAAAAGTTTTTTGGTTGGGCCATGTTTGTTTGTTGTAGTACGGAGTTAGACTGATGGCCTTAATCTAAGTTGTCTTGTGGTTGTTCTTGTTGTTGTTTGACTTGCATCCCACTGGGATTTTTGCACACAGCGTTGGTCTACGGTGCTTTTTCTGGAATTTTTACTGTTTTTTTTCCTGTATTTTCCTTTTGCACATAGTCACATAGTCACTTTAAGATGTTTTCTTGTTCATGTTTTTGTTTGTTGCGGTTGCACCCGATTCAAGAGCCGAATGGCTCAGAGGGCTACACCTAATAAATGAAACTTGAAAATGAAAAACTTGAAATACTCATTTCCCCAATCAACTAATTCATGTACACATTACTCGCCCATTCTCTCAATAGATCAAATTAATTAACGTATTCGCTCACTTATTGATTACCTCAACTGGTGCTGGGCCTCTCCGCGGCATTAAATGAGTGCCTGTTGCGGTGCGTAAACACCAGTACCAGGGAGACAAAGGCGGCCGGGCGTGGTGCTGGCCACCCACCCCCTCTCGTGTGCCGTGCCGGCCTTCATAGGCGCAGCTACTAGTCACTAACAGCACGTGTCCCAACACTCTGTGTGCGGGGGGGGGGGGGGTCTGTGTCTCCGTCCGTGCGCAGGGAGCGTGTGCGCGCGTGTCTGCTGGAAGCTTTCGCCGGCCCCCCGGACACGGGGGTTTACTCCCCATCCGTGCAGCGCACCCTCTACCTGGCCGGGCAGTCTGTGCTGCAGAGCCTACCGCACACGTACGAGACGCGCGTGGGGGGGGGGGGATGCACGGGGGCGCGCGTGGGTGCGGCGGTGGCACCACGAAGAAATGAACTGGCCAAATGTATTGCCCTGTAACCCTCCACTACCCGGCACAGTCAGACGAATGAGATTGTCACGCGGTGCACGAGCGTTCCACGACGAGCAGATTGTTGTTTTTCGGGCAACCTACTTTAGCAATCAGATGCCAAGTCGCTAACTGTGGCGGTCACGTGGTGGAGGGTTTTACGTAAAAAAAAAATGTGGCCAGATCATCACTACGTGGCCTGACCCAGAAATAAATTACGAATCGTAACGTTGGCTGTGAAAACCCACGTGATGAGTTAACTGCTAATTCACGCCCGCATGTGTGCGTGGCTGTGGCGCGCGTCAGGTGGAGGACATTCGGATTACCATGCCAAACCTTCACTACACCCCCATCGACCTGAGAAAGCTGGGCCTCAAAAACAATGACCAGGCGAGTCTCACCACCAGGGTCAGAGGTCACCGCCTCTCCCTGGTCCGAGCACTGGGGTGGCCGCTCGTGTCCGCCGGCGACCCCGATACAGTGGTAGAAATTCCACGTTCCTATGGCAGGGGTCAGATTATCTACAGACAAGTGGCAGTCGACTTCTCACCGAAGTAGCACTCAAATCCTGGACAGGCTTCCAGCCTCTCGTCTGGCTGGTGCTGATAACATGAGTAAAGATATGTGGGAGGTTTAATGTTGTGCCAGAGAAAGAATGACCCCGACCATAAATATGGAATTTGCACCACTAGAGAAGGCTCGAATGCCAAGAGGCCCATGAGCTGTCAATATTATTTTATGCGGAGATCCAAACACTGGTCAATGTATCTAATGCTAGATTTGAAGTTGTCGTGACTGCAAGGATTCAAACTCTTTGGTTTTTTCGGTAAAGTCACGTAGGTAAATTTTTAATGAAAAAACTAAATTAATTTTGATACGGTAATTTTGCTGTGACGGTTCCACCTGAAGCTTGTGTTGCCTCCGAAACGTCGTGATTTAATTTAGTTGTTTTTTCATTTAATTTTTTTACCTACGTGACTTTACCGAAAAAAACAAAGAGAATGTATTTAATGATTAAATCTTTGCAGCGCTGTTGTTGTATTAATTTGCGGTCGTCATCACCGCCACATCTTCTGCAGGTGTTTCTGCCGACAAGCAGCCCTGCCGGGCTCATCTCGGCCACGGTTTGTCGACAGACCACGGCAAAACTCTGAACATCAGTGAACTGGAAATTAGTCTGCACGTGTCCCCCGCGTGCCAGAAACAGTGCCCCAGCTGGGTTCTCCGAATCTTCTACCAAAGCCTTGCACACTTCGGAAATGACCGAGCTGCACACACCAGCTCCATGCTGCCCGACACAAATGGGACAAACGGGGCAAACGGGGCATCGAAGCAACACGTCCCAGCATGTGATGTAGAACTGTGCCGCGTCTTTTCTCAAAGCCAGCAGCCATGGCCTGCCTTCCATTTAGCTTTATTCCTCAAGAACTTGTGAGTCTATGGGTAATGTTAGTCGGTGGGCAACGTTAGTCTCATCTCTCTCTCTGTGCCGTGTCCTTTCTCGAAGACGTTGGCGATCGTGGCCTACTCCATGCAGCTCTGTCCGTGATATTTACTCAACAAGTCTCCTACAAATTCTGATTTGTGCCTGTATAATTTTTTTGGGCTGCATTTCCCATTAAATCTATGTCGGAAAATGCTTGGTAATTTTATGAATGTTAATCTGATATTTTTCTCTCTGAAAATGCAATCCCGGATGCTGAGAACCACCGTGATTCCAGGAGTGTGTCGCACAAATACAAACAACAGGATTACATGGCACCATTTTTGGCGGTATCAAAGTTATGAAAAAAAGGAGGCTTGACCCAGACTTGATGCTGCTTGGCAACAGCTATCGATTTCGTGTTTGGGCACTTAACGCCTGTATTACAGCCAGAAAAGGTACAGCCTATTCTTTTTTCACCAATAGGATTATAGCCAAACTGGGCAGGGATTTCTGCGGTAGAGGGATGAACGCAGATCATCACCCCTATTGCATCGATAAAATAAGTACCACATTGTGGGAGGTCGGTAGCCGAGACTGGTCGTCTACAAGTTAGGGATGTGAGATTCCCATCACATTGGTCCAAGGGACACCAACAGAGATGATGGCCTCCAGACAGAACTCATCCGAGCAGAGACCGGGAGTCGGATGGATTTTGTTGGATTCTTCTGTGAAAAAGAGCTTCATAGCTCATCGGATTCCTCCCCCACTCTAAATAAAGATTCTGTTGACACAGTGATGAACACCACCCAGAACAAGACAAAGAAGTTGGTGGCGAATGGCGGTGACAGGCTAGGTGCACACGCACACACACATGGTCACTGCATATGAACAAGAATCTCAATCGATAGCAACAAAATGAACGAATTTTTTTTTAAAAGGTAAATTTTCCATTTTTATTCATTTCTTTTCGCAAATACTTCTATAGCATCGGGGATGAAAGGAAATGTGTAAACAAAAATCATACAAAACAACAGGGACGCCAAACAACGAGCAGTGGCGTTGCCCCTTGGCAGTGGCGCTGTGCCGTTAGCGAGTAGCACCTATGAAGGCCGGCACGGCACACGAGGGGGTGGGTCGCCGCCTTTGTCTCCAGCTCCTCCGGCACGCACCGCCGCACGCCCCGCTCGGCACCGGCCACCGCCACCATTAACACTGCCGCGAGTAACAATGCTCGTTCCCACTGCATTTAAGCTACGAGGCGAGTCACGTACTAACTAGCGCAGACAACTAAAACAAACATGAGTACGCTCTTGTTTTTGTTTAACACTGAGAGGAAGGCAGCTACAGTACATGACTCCGAAAACAAGTTTCGTGGCATCGTCGTGTTTTTCTCTCTGCCGCCGTGACGACGCGGATACACGATCGCGACTCCTCTGTCCTCTTTGGTAGGAGTTTGCATCTCTAAATCGGGGCGAGACCGGCGGTGGCTCTGGAAGCTTGGCCTACGAACGAACCCCCCTCCACCGTCGGGATGACCCGGCTTGCGCGGGATGACCTGGCTTGCGCGGGATGACCCGGCTTGCACGGGATGACCCGGCTTGCGCGGGATGACCCGGCTTGCACGGGATGACCCGGCTTGCGCGTGATGACCCGGCTTGCGCGGGATGACCCGGCTTGCACAGCGGCAGAGCCGTGGGCTCCACCACGTTGCCCATGTTCGAGAGACGGTCCGACCGGCACACACCGGTGCCCTGTCACTCTCTCCCCCCCCCCCCCCCCCCGGATTCAAAGAGTTTTGTACAAAAGCGACCATCACGCCGTTGAGACGACGCCACACCGTGCTGACAACTCTCCCAATAAAGTGGAAGATAGCTCGTTGTTATTGTCATCAGAGCAGCAGGGGCTTACTGCACTGATGATGCATAATACGGATGAAACCCATGGTTGATTTAGCATCACACAGGTCCGATGGTGCGATGGTCGCGCAGTGGTAAGTGCACCACGAACCCGGAGACCTGAGTTCAGTGCTCAGTCTGAGCAGTGGTGACGTACGGTCAAACAACCCGACAACCGATATGCCACACAGGGAGGCCTTCACCCAGCAGTGGATTGACAAAGGGATGTGGATTGTTACCAGTTGCTATATCACCATGGTGACCAAAGCCGGCTGGCCATTCGTCTCACACAGGCGACGTGGGCAGAGTGATGGGCTCAATGTCTAAAGGTTGCGAGCTCATTTTACCAACTCCAACAACACGGCGACGAGGATGATGATGATGGTGACGATGATGACGATGATGACGAGGATGACGAGGATGATGAGGATGAGGATGATGTGGCTAAGCAAGCCTGACATTGTCCAGGAGCTCTGCTGCCCGGCCAACCAGACCGTGTCCTGGCCATACCACCAATAGAAGATCCTCTCCGACGTACCAAAGATCCAGCGGTTCCGTTTACGTCATATTGACAACCGCACCCACAGTGGTTGCACCGGGCCGGTACACGCCAAACCATCACCTCTAACAATATGAACAGCAAAATAAATTACCGTATTAAATTAACTTCAGTAAAACTATTATAATTTTGCATTTGTATAAACGCATCAACTAAACGATAGTTTCTATTGTTTTAAAGCAAGTTCTTTCCTTCTTCGTGTCAATGACGACGACCGACTCTGCAGCACCTGATGGGGTGACACCGAGACTCGAGTGCCGACGATGTCCCAGTGGCCCTGGCGGTGGCTTCCGGCACGCGGCTCGCGAAGCGTTACGGCAACCAGCGACCGCGGCTTGGTCGCAGCCCACAGCGTTACGGCCCCGGCGACCCTGGCCTGCAGCCCACAGCGTCGATTGGAGACAAACGGCACCTTGAGCCGGTCTAGACTTCCCTTGGGTTGACTCGGCCTCAACGGAGGAGCTGGTGCGGGCCGGGTGACATAGGCACTGGCGGTGCAGTCTTCCCACGCCGGCGTGCACGCTACGCCGGCCCCAACGGGCGCCAGCCAACAGCCCCTGCCGCACCGTGGGCGCTTTGTGCGCGCAATTGAACACGTCATATGTATTACATACATATTTATAACTGTGTTACAGTAATGCTACAGATGCATACATAACATCCGTATTTGCATATCTTTGTATGTATACACACACATGCATGCACACACACAGCTTCTATTACATGTCCGAATTGTTACACGCCATCTAGACTCGTGTATATATTCACACGATGACACACACAGATCGCACGTGTGCCGTATCTGAATATATACGCAGTGCTGGGGGGGGGGGGGGCACGCGGAGGCCGGAGACTCCACACGTGGGGGGCGCGCGAAGCTCCATCGCCCCCTTGGGGCAATCAAACGATCAGAACCACTCAGTGGGAAGCCAACCGTGGTTGTCTCGTGGAGGGCAGGGACCCTGCCATGGGACCGAGGCGTTTTGGCGCTAAGGGTATTGAGTTTTATTTACAGGCGATTTACATGGACGCAAGACCACGGATGGTCAGTGGAGTTTCATGATTTACGAGAGCAGCAGCCGATTGCCTTTGTTGGCTACGTTGACCTCAGCGTTGGGCGACGCCACCGATGTCGGAGCGCAACGCCCAGAGACCCCGCTCCAGGAACCAGCATTAGGTTCCTTCTTACGCAAAATAAAACAAAGTGGTTTAGTGCAACCGCTTAGACCAAGGCATATAAAACAATAAACTTCCTACCGCTGCTCATTGCTGAGAGAATCTGACTGCACGCAAGCGAGCGAGTGAGTGAGTGAGCCTGCGGGTGAGTGAGTGACCGAGTGAGTGAGTTTGCAAGCCTGCGGGTGAGTGAGTGACCGAGTGAGTGAGTTTGCAAGCCTGCGGGCAGGTGAGTGAGTGACCGAGTGAGCGAGTGAGCGAGCAAGCCTGCGGGTGAGTGAGTGACCGAGTGAGCGATAGACCGAGTGAGCCTGCGGGTGAGTGAGTGACCGAGTGAGTGAGTTTGCAAGCCTGCGGGTGAGTGAGTGACCGAGTGACCGAGTGAGCGAGCCTGCGGGTGAGTGAGTGACCGAGTGAGTGACCGAGTGAGTGAGTTTGCAAGCCTGCGGGTGAGTGAGTGACTGAGTGAGCGAGCCTGCGGGTGAGTGAGTGACCGAGTGAGTGAGTTAGCAAGCCTGCAGGTGAGTGAGTGACCGAGTGAGTGAGTTTGCAAGCCTGCGGGCGAGTGAGTGACCGAGTGAGTGAGCCTGCGGGTGAGTGAGTGACCGAGTGAGTGAGTTAGCAAGCCTGCAGGTGAGTGAGTGACCGAGTGAGTGAGTTTGCAAGCCTGCGGGTGAGTGAGTGACTGAGTGAGCGAGCCTGCGGGTGAGTGAGTGACCGAGTGAGTGAGTTAGAAAGCCTGCAGGTGAGTGAGTGACCGAGTGAGTGAGTTTGCAAGCCTGCGGGCGAGTGAGTGACCGAGTGAGTGAGCGAGCGGTTTTAGTGAAATCGGTGAACCTCGTTATTTCGCTCGGCACGGCTGGGGGTTCCGCGTCGCGTTTACTCGGCGCCCTCCTCCACGCCGTTGGGGGTTTTGGCGGTGCCATCGTCACCACCCTGGGGCGAGGGGAGGGGCTCAGGGCCCAGCTCAAGCCCCTCCACCCCCCGCCCGTTGCGCGCCGCCTCGGCCGCCGCCTCGCGATCCACCATGCGGTAGTTGATGGCGTTGGCGACGAAGAGGTAGATGCCGGCCGTGATGACGATGGCGCCGCACACGAAGTACATGTACTTGTAGTCGCCCGTCACGTCCACCAGCCAGCCTGCGACGTCGGGCGTGGGGGCGGGGGGGTAGCGGCGATGCCGTTAGCGTGGGCTCGCTTAGTTACCGACTCGTTATCGTGGTATAATCATCGTTATCAACCGCGCTGCGATTCCCTACCACGAGCTCTGTATATAAATGTAGATAAGATAAACCTCTTGACATCCCCACTGACGAGATCCCAAACGGACGGCTCTCCGCTCCCGCCAATGAGGAGCATCCCCCCTCCTCTCTAGCGGTGCTCGTTAACTTTTTGTCCAGGGTGGTTCCTCCTCGGGTTGCTTGTCCTTCGTCTGGGAGGGTGGAGGGGGGGCAATCGCTTTTGGTCCTGGCCCCTACATGACATGGATTCCAACTCCTTTCAAGAGGAGGTGCAGTCTACCCAGACCCGGGACAACTGTTTCCAGGTCTATAGACATGAGCATCCATGTGCGCGTGTGCATGTGCGTGCGTGCGCGTCCGTGTGTGCGCATGCGTGAACGTGTGTGCGTGTGTTCGTGTGTGCGATGTGCGTGCGTGTGTATGTGCGTGTGTGTGTGCGTACGTGTGTGCGTGCATGTGTGCGCATGCGTGAACGTGTGTGCGTGTGTGCGCGCAGTATGTGCACCTGGGAGTGAAGGGGCACTGTTTGTATGTACAGTAAAACCTTGGATTGCGAGCATAATTCGTTCCGGAAACGTGCTTGTAATCCAAAGCACTCGTACATCAAAGCACTCGTGTATCAGTTGTGATCACGTGACGCTCGGCAGACAAAGCGTATACACGTACTACTTGTATTGCAAGACCTCGCTCGTTTATCAAATTAAAATTTATTAAAAAATTTGCTCGTCTTGCAAAACACTCGCAGACCAAGTTACTCGCAATCCAAGGTTTTACTGTATGCTGAACTTCTTTCGGACCATACGTAGCCAACCGGAGATGCGGGAGAAGGAGAACAAACTTAACACAATAAATGTGTGTGCGCGTGTTTGCGTGTGCATGTGCGTGTGTGTGCGTGCGTGCGTGCGTGCGTGAGCGAGGGGGTGAGCGAGGGGGTGAGCGAGGGGGTGAGCGAGGGGGTGAGCGAGGGGGTGAGCGAGGGGGTGAGCGAGGGGGTGAGCGAGGGGGTGAGCGAGGGGGTGAGCGAGGGGGTGAGCGAGGGGGTGAGCGAGGGGGTGAGCGAGGGGGTGAGCGAGGGGGTGAGCGAGGGGGTGAGCGAGGGGGTGAGCGAGGGGGTGAGCGAGGGGGTGAGCGAGGGGGCACCTCCGATAGGCGGACCGAGCAGCACGGGGCAGCACTCGACGATGGTGACGAGGCCCACGGCGCTGGAGAAGCGCTGCGCCCCCACCAGGTCCATGAGCGTCTCGAAGAGCACGGAGCTCACCATGCCGAACGCCATGCCGAAGAACACCGAGTACGCCACCAGACCACCGTAGTCGCTGGCCAGCGGGCACAGCACGTGGCACACGCCGTTGAAGATCACCGCGAAGCTGAAGAAGTACTGGATCTGCGGGCGTGAAGCGTGGGGGGGGGTGGGCGTGGGGGGAACAGTTGTAGAGTTGGCGGCTTATTGTACGATGCACACGCCAGAGTTCGCAACCGGGTATCCGATACCCGTACCCTACCCGATACCCGGTTACCCGTACCCGGCCAGGTACGGGTACCCATTTGCGACCCTGGTGCGGCCGGGTACGGGTAGGCCGTGAGTCACTTGTGAGTCACCGTTTGTCACTCATTTCGGGTAGGGTACGGGTAAGGAATCAAAACCCGTTTGCGACCTCTGGCACACGCACAGCTCGGCTCCCTAGGGCCGCAGCGCTGTGCGAGCCGCGTGTCTCGCGCCCCCTATGCGCGGGCGTCTGTAACGCGGGCGTTGGAATTCGTTCCATGCGTCGCACTGGGTCCCCCGTCCTAACACTGTGGGATTTCCACCGCTGGCTCCTGCCAGCAGATGTAGACTAACAACTCGCGATGCTCACTTGAGTCGTCGTCATCAGCCGTGGTCAATCCACTGCTGGATGAGGGCCTCCCCACACCGCGTGGGTCGGGGGTGTATTTTGACTATACTTCACCACAATGATCAGTGTGCATTTGTGAAGGTGGGGAGCATAGATGTTGAGGCATAGTACAGTATCATTTCTACATAAAATTTCGTCAGTAATTTTCTCTCGACCTTTGAACCGCAAGCATTCCTGGGAAAGTCTTCATCTGCAGCACGGCCGGCCCGACTCACGGAGTCAAGTTCGAGTTGAGACCAACTCGGGTTGAGACCACTCCACTCGACTCAAACCACTTCACGTTTGCTTCTCTCCCGTGTGCCCGCGTGCCCGCGTGCCCGTGTGCCCTCACCCTTGGCCGAATCCAGCGCGAGTTGGCAATGAGGCCACAGGTGGGGCGGCACACCATGTCCACGATGGCCAGGATGGTGAGCAGGAATGCGGCCGAGTACTTCTCGATGCCCATGTGGCGAGCGTACGGCGCCAGGAACACGATGGGCGAGAAGAACCCGAGGAACATGACGACGTTTCCCGAGAGGTAGATGAGGAAGCCGCGGTGCTTGAAGAGCGACAGGTCGAGCAGCTCCTTGAAGCGCTGCAGGAATCCCTCCTTGGGTGACGCAAAAAGGATCATAGCCACGCGCATGAGCCAACGAGATCGTGCCCCCCATTATCCGATCTGCAAATCCCTCCGTGGCCTCCCTATCCAACCCAGGCTCAATCGCAACACTGCTCGTCAATGCTCGCTATGAACACCTAACGGCGTTGCGTCCGAGTCAATGTTTTACACTGCAGATTGCAATGCTGGTCGATGCATTTCTGCTGTATTCTAACAAGAAACGACTGGACGCACGCACTATCATAAGGATGAATTTTAACCGGTGAATTAACGCACCTTCGACACCGAGATGGCTATTCTTTGGTTCTTTCGGTAAAGTCACGTAGAAAGAAAATAAATGAATAGAATATGATGTTTCATCAGGTAGAACAAAATTTGAGAATTTTCTTTCTTTCTCAAACTGCCTATTTCTCTCCCTAAAATTTACCAGGCTCTCATAGGTCCATTCACTCTTTCTCTCCCCTGGCTGCTTCGGGGTGGATTTACACACAACTCTCTCTAAACATTTTTTTTTTACCAGACTTGCTGGTCTCTCCCCCGGCCACTGCGGGGTGGATTTCCATACAGCTCTCTCATTGACATGCTAATTTCTCTGCTCCAGCAGACCCACCTCTCTCTCTGCTCCCCTCTCTCTATTGAAGGCTGTGACACAGAGGCATTGGGTCTCTGTGTGTCTATGTTGTGTGTCTCTCTCTGTGTATCTCTGTGTTGTCTCTATCTGCTTGTGTGTCTGTCTGTGTATCTCCGTGTCTGTGTTTTGTCTCTCTCTCAAATTGAGTTCTACCTGATGACGACTGCTTGTGTTGCAATCGAAACGTCACATTCTATTATTTAATTTATTGTCTTTCTACGTGACTTTACCGAAAGAACCAAAGAGTAATTCCTGCAGTCACGAAAGCTTCAAATCAACCGAGCTGGCATTAAATGGTAGGGCACAGGTGAAGGGGAGAGGCTGGCGGGAGCAGGCAAAACGGGGAAAACAAAGGCACGGCCGGAGCGCGGGTGGCCCGAGACGTCACCTTGGGCTTTGCCGGCTGTCCGGACAGCAGGCTCACGGCCTGCGGGTTCGCCGTGTCAGCGGGCACGGGCGGCGGCGGCGGCGGCGGAGTCGTGGCGTTCTCCGCGGCCACTTCCGTCGCGGACTCCGTCGCGGTCAGCGCCGCCGGCGCGGATGGCGACGGCTTCACGGGGCGCATGAGGGCGCCGGCCACGCAGCAGTTGAGTAGCAGCCCCCCCAGGATCATGAAGCTGCCCCTCCAGCCGAAGCTGTTGAGCAGCAGCTGGTTGAGGGGCGCGAGGGTGCTGAGCATCACGGGGCTCCCGGCCATCGCCAGTCCGTTGGCGATCGGCCGCTTCTTGTAGAAGTACTTGCCGATGATGGTGAGCGCCGGCTGCAGGTTCATGGCGAGGCCGAAGCCTGCGCTCGCGTGCACGCAAAAGGACGACGACCACCACAGCAACAACGGCCGGGGAATCGGAGGTGACTGCGAGACTCTGGGGGCTAATACCAACGCTCATTTAAGGCTGAGTCAACCTAGTGAGGATGCCCAGGACTGGTAGATAAAACTCACCACCGACTCGTAGCGCAGTGAGCTGACCACACATGCACCTCAAGCACACACACAGACAGAGATCCCCCATATAGCCTTAACAGACTGTTGGGGCAAGTGCAGTTGGTGAACACATATGAGGACTGGCACAGCACGAGGGGTCGAGTGACCAGTATCACGCTCGCCCGCCTTTGTCTCCCCAGTGGTTATGTTTACACACCGCACCAGGTACTCATTTGAGGCTGACTCGAATTAAGGCAGGCCCAGTACTGCTTCATATGATCATCACTGGTGTTCGCCGTGACCGGGAATCAAACTCGGGTTTCTGGGTTCATAGCGCAGCACGCTAACCGTTACACTACTGCTCCCCATACACACGCAGATGCAAACATGGACCCTCAGGCGCATACACACACATACATGCCAACCTATACCAGTGTCAACAGCATTGACGTTAAAAGGTTACGTGCCTCGAAGGTGCATAAAACACCAAAATATGATTCCCCGTTTGGTACGTGCAAAAGTGACATAACCCGGCAACTTGATACATTTTATGGAAAACTTTGTTTCAAATGTAAATGCCAATATATTTATAAGTTTTTATAATTCCACTGCTGTGTTGGTCAAGGGCGATGCGTGACGATGATTTGCCACTGGACAGCACGGGCTGGCGAAGTGAGAGCCAGAACAAGTTTAAATATAATTCGCCACCGATGTTGACTGTGGCACTGCGCCCACCCCCGACACACATTAAGGCTCCATGTTTCACGGAATAGGAGACTGCTGCTGCCTGGATTAGTATGCATGGCTGTCTTTCTCCCCACAGAAACGCGAGCCACTGACACCACATCCCTTCCCACATGTCTCCAGCACCACTTACGACTGTGAAGAGCACAGCGATCGCGATGCGCGGTTAAGCAGGACGTGCGACGCAGTGCTAATCTCATTATGGCGCCGTGCTGCTCTTCGTGTGTGTGTATGTCTCGGTAGGATGTTACAGGGATGTGTCCGGGCCGACGTTCAGAAGTCAAATGGAGTTCAATGCAAAATGACTCTTTGTGCAGAGTCAAATCCTGGAGTTTAATTTGCAAATTTGCAAATGAACCCCAGGATTTCCAAATTTGCAAATGAACCCCAGGATTTGACTCTGCACACAGAGTCAATTTGCATTGAACTCCATTTGACTGGTGAAGTGAGAGCCAGAACAAGTTTAAATATAATTCGCCACTGATGTTTTTGGTATCCGTTTATTGTAACGGACACCAAAAAGCCCCCACACTGTGAACCGATCCGGGGAGCTTGACCCGCTGTTTCCTTGGTTATCCCCTCGGCACGGCGGCCATCTCTAGCCCTGAACCCCCGTGACCCCCGTGTGGGGGCTCCTCGCCCGGCCCACTCACCCCCGATGACCCCGATGCAGAAGTAGAGCTGCAGGATGGAGGTGCAGAACGAGGCGAGCACCATGCCAGTGCCGGCCAGCACGCCGCCCGCCACCACCACAGGCCGGCTGCCGTAGCGGTTCACCAGAATGCTGCTCACCGGGCCTACGGTGCCACGCACGCACATCATCCCGTCAGCGCGCGATCAACCACCGCCGGCGCTCAGAGCGCCAGCTTTGAACAGTAATCGTAGGCCGATTCCGGATGACAGCGTTCGAGGTTTTAGAAGTAACGTAACGTCTCGTTTGGCTTTTACGGCTCAAGCGTAAAGTCAAACTGTCTCCCTGCTGCAGCGAGTGATTGGACACTGGCACTGGGAACTGAAACTCGGGGCCTTCCTGTCGAGAGTCGAGCCCCCCGCTCGATCCGAGTGGCGCCTGCCCCTGTAGACTCCGCGCACACCAGCAGCAGAGCCCCCGGGTGAAGCGTGCCGCCGGGGCCTCGCGCACCGCGCGCACTCACCGCCCGCGTACATGATGGCCAGCATGATGGAGGAGATCCACGCGATCTCGCTGTACGTCGTCTGGAAGATCTCCTGGATCTCGCTGAAGAAGACGGTGATCGCCTTGGGGAAGGCGTACGAGAAGCCGATGGAGATGAAGGCCCCCACGACCACAGGCCCAGCCCCAGCCCCCGTCCGGCGGGGGGCACACCTGGCCGGCGGCCGCCAGCGGCGACATGGCGACACGATCGCCCGCGTGGAGCCGAGCCGTTCAGGATTTGCTGCTGGAATGCAAAAACCCGTGGAGCGCGTGAACAAATGTGCGGGAACCCTTTCCTTAGGGCGTCCCCACGGCATCCCCACGGCATCCCCATGGCATCCGCGTGCGACACCGCCACGCGTGCCGGCTTCTCCAGCGGATATCCGACTCGCACGGAGGAGGCCCGGTGGCACGGAGGTCAGAGCGTCAGGCCGGCACCACCGGGATCCTGGGTTGGAATTCGCGGTTCAGCTGTCCGTAGTTTACGCTTGGGCTTCCCCCCAGTGCAGAGAGTCGATGGTCACTAAAAAACACACCTAAATCCCAGCTGTGAAAATTTAAAATATCAGATGGTAACTGTCACGCGAGGATCATTGCTCTGGGTGGTAAAGCAGATGGGAAAGTGCTGCCCTCTACTGTGTGTGGAACATAGGTCACTTGGAAAGATCTGAGAATTTGACTGCGATATCCGCTTCTGTGGAGCATTTTCTAACACGAAGGGTCGCACCACTCGGCAAAATGAACGATTCACATCACAACACTGGAGCTCTCACCTCTACACTGAAACTTTACCCTGGTACGTCTTCTCTCTAGGTTAATGGCGATGCCCGTTCCTAGAGGCAATAACACAAGATTGTCGAGGTTAATTTACAATTGGTCCATGAGATTTTAAGTTTTCGTGACTGCAGGGATCCATACTCTTTGGTTCTTTCGGTAAAGTCACGTAGGTAGAAACATTAGATAAATTAAATCACGACGTTTCGATCGCAACACAAGCAATCATCATCAGGTGGGAAAACCACAGCAAGAAATTTTTTTTGCTGTGGTTTTCCCACCTGATGACGATTGCTTGTGTTGCGATCGAAACGTCGTGATTTGTTTTATTTTATTTTATACCTACGTGACTTTACCGAAAGAACCAAAGAGTATGGTCCATGAGAGATAAAGTGCCACACTGTCTCGGATTGATGGTGCTAGGTACCGGAACAGCTCTTTTGTCAATCCACTGCTCGATGGTAGAGGGTGACCGGGCACTGGAACAAATGTTTTTCCGGCTTTTACCTTCACACCCTATAACGCAACCAGCCACTTTACAGTCCCTGGTTCCTGGCTGACGCTGCGCAGTCTCTCTCTCAACCCATGCAGCCTCAAATTTCGATTTAAAGCTTTCGTGACTGCAGGGATTCATCTTCTTGGTTCTTTCGGTAAAGTCACGTAGAAGGGAAGTAATAAAATAATAAAAATAAAACATTAAATAATTCTCACGACGTTTCGGCCACAACGCAAGCAGCCGTCCTCAGGTGAAGACCAGGTCTGTCGTTGTCTCCCCGACAGACCTGGTCTTCACCTGAGGACGGCTGCTTGCGTTGTGGCCGAAACGTCGTGAGAATTATTTTATTTAGTTTTAGTTTTATTATTTAATTATTTCCATTCTACGTGACTTTACCGAAAGAACCAAGAAGAACCATGCAGCCTCGTCAGCGGCTCACGCGGGGAGCCTCTCCACGGCAACGCGACGCTGCCCGTCTGTGTGCGCGTCGCGTATCAACGCCAGGGAAGCACCGCAACGCCTCGAGTCTCTCCGACGCTCGCTCGCTTGCGCGCGGGGGGGCCAAGGTTGATGCCCGGCGCCAGAGCCAGTAAGCCAGCACCCCGAAGATCTGAACTTCAATTTCCGAACGGCCACTCGAACAACATCGATCTGGGTTCTCAAGCGCAGAGAGTTGGACGGTTTCAACGCGGTCTCAATAACACAAAAGTCAAGGTCAAAAACCAACGACTTTCCCCTCCACGGGCTCCCACCATCTCTCAAGGACCGTCACGTGCTCCCGATTGTACGCACATGTGCGAAAACGCGGCAGAGCCGTGCCCATACCCAGTGCTGACCCCAAGTCTGCGATGACAATTCCACATTCCTCTGGTGGGAGACAGAGATTCAAAAGGACATCCACCGTTGGCTCATTTCAACGACGATAAGATAGGCCGAGTTGGCCCCCTGTCAAGAGCTCGCAACGTTCCAACTCCGTAGAGCGCCCAGCCCGCGTGCTCTCAGCGCGCCCCCTGGCACTGTGCCGATAGAACTTGGTCAATTCGCACGGTGCCCCGACCCGCAGCGGTGCTGCCAAAGGCGTTATGCAGTGCATGAGCTCGTCATTGCTCAGGGTTTGCGTGAAAGGCCGATACCGATTACACTGTATGAGTTTTTGGCTATGGGAGGAAACCGGAGAAGCCAGAGAAAACACACGCATAAGAGGGAGAGAATATACAAACCAGACACAGGTACCCAAGTCGAGAATTGAACCCAGGCGCTTATTGCTGTGTGGCACGAGTGTTACCACTGTGCCACCTCTGCACCACACACGGAACTGAAGTGCCCAAAAACTCCCAATGCATGCAGGATCCTGCTGAAAAGAGTCTTTGGACTCAGTGAGGCTTCCCTGGGCACATCAAGGCAATTCATTTTTTATTATTATTATGATTATTAGCCTGATGTGACCTAAGTAGACTATGCAGCTGCGTGGTGTGCAGTTACATGGAGCCGACCGCAATTACACAATTCTAAAAATATATCTCCTAAGTACTGTTGCCGGCATGGGGGGGGGCAAGCTCAATGGAAACACTTGTGACCTCACAGCCAGGACCGCCTAGGTTCGATTCCTGACTCGGGCACCTCTCATTAGCGGAGTTGTATCTTTCCCCCCCATTCTGCATGGGCTTCCTCCGGGTGCAAGTGGTGTTGGCCAAAACATCCCAATGCCGAACTACGACGTGCAATTCACTCATCGAGCAACATCGCCACTTGCTGCAAAAACTTGGCAGGGCCCACGTGATGAAGATCCCCGACACCCGCCAGTTCGGCTTCCCTGGTTAGAGAAGGCGAATAGTAACCGTATTGTGGCGAGGATGGAGCCGTGTCACGAGCACACAGCAACCACGGAGCGGAGCTCCAAGTCATTTCCGCCGATTGGCAATCCATCCAGTTGATAAGACTACAGGACAAATCCATTACTCATCCATGCACCGGCGACGCTACAATCCCTCTTGCAAGATTATGCTCGTCTCTATAAGTGAAATGTCAATGTGTGTTCTGGCAAATTAACAAACCTCGTGACATCTAGTCATTGGACTCATTAATTTTATTCATCAATATCGAGACTGGTCCCCGACATAGGGCTGTGGAATTTCCACCGGATGTTCAGGGATGCAAAACTGAGATGAGCACTGCTCTAAGCTTGAGTCGGATGCTTCGGACTTCTTGACCTTGTAATATAAACAAGAAAAAGTGTCTCTCTGCTCACACAACCGGGTGGTACTCAACTCCACATTTCCATGGCAGAGACCAGTTTATGCCAAGGGCAACCACTGTGGATGTGGAGTGATGTGGTAGTGATTTATTGTGATCCTTGGTGGGTGATGGACGGAGTAGACCCCAAGCAGCGGGCGAGTCCTGGTGAGGCTACGGCAACGGTGCAGGAATACCAAGTTGAAATCTCTACCCGGCTCGGCCTCACTCAGCGCCCACGGCTATTTCTTCCGGCAGGGTTTGGCTATGGAAAGTTTGAGAGGGCAGCCAGGGAAAACTACGCATGTTCTGGAGAGAGCCCACAAACTCCACCGTATGGACAGGCGAGCAAACCTACCCCACCCACCTGCACGTACCTGCAGGTGGGTGGGTATCTCAAGTGTACGACCCATGGGGGAGTCACTATTCTCCCTCAGCCATGCTCTTACCACTGTTGGATGAAGGTCTCCGCACGCCGCCCATCCCTCGCACTCCTGTGATGCGACAATCCACCCAGCACCTGCATAGCAGCCGCTTCCTTTTGGGCGCGTTTTCATCTTTGACTGCCGTTCCATCTGGAGTCATCCAATGGCCAAGTCCACTTACTTTGGTCAAATAACCCCCGGGACCCGCACGACATGGCCAGGCCCTCATCCAGCGGAAGACTGAGCCGCACGGTGACTCTCTGTGGATAACGGCAGAGTGGCCGCGCCACGGCGCTGTGGTCGGAGCGCTCGACTCGCAAGCATTACGGCCCGAGTTCACATCCCGGTTGGAGGATGAGTGAGGTCATCGTCTCTCTGGGGTGGCAGATGGGGGGCAATAAAATGAGTGGTACCTCACGGGAATTCAACAGTGGTTGTCCAATAGATAATAAGGCTCAGATATAGAAACATAGAATTTCGGCGCTTTTTCTCTTGTGAAGAGACAATGCGTTGTCAGTGGACAGGCTAAATAAGGAAGATCGATCCATCAGACAAACTCGATTGTTGACTAATCGAAGAGCTGGTACCGTCTCGGGCATTCTGTTTATAGGCCAAGGAGGGGGAGGTGTTAAATTTCGATTTAAAGCTTTCGTGACTGCAGGGATTCAACTTTATTACGTGTTATTTTTATTATTTTATTATTTCCCTTCTACGTGACTTTACTGAAAGAACCAAGAAGAGGGGAGGTGTTGTTACCGGTTGGCACGCAAGCCCGAGCGGGGCCGGATTTACACCCCGTGGCACCGCGCGGTGCCGCTACTCACTTTAGACGTAGCCAGCGCCCAGGCTGGGTTTCAGTCTTGACCTCAAATCGCCTTCCCGAGGGCAGCAGACACTAGCACTGGTGAAATGGGCTCAGGTCCTTATAGAGGAATAAACAAACTATTAAAATAATGTCGACGTGTGTGTGTGTGTACATACGGTGGTGGAAATGTTCCGGTACGTCACACAGGCACCTCTCCCGACACCAAACACGTGCCTAACGGGTACTTTGGACGAAGAACGGTTCCTATTCCTACACTGCCATGTTTTCATAGAGGGAAAACAAAGGTGTATGTGTGTGTGTTTATTGTGAGGGTGTGAAAGTCAACTCGAGTTCGATTCCTGCTCACGGCCAACACCAGTGATGATTATCTGAACCAGTCTGGACTGCCCGTAAATTGAGTACATGGTGCAATGTGTAAACTGACACTAGGGAGACAAAGGCAGCC